CTGGTAGACACCACACCTGTATACTGGGGGGGGGGGCAGGGCATATATTCCACCGAAAACATTCCCACAAATAATAAAAAATAACAAACAATCAATGAAACTGCTGCTGTGAACTCTGATAAACTGTACCACCACCCACAAGCTCTAAATAAAATCACTGGTGCCGTACACAAACCGTAAACAAACCAACCAGTTAATGTCAAGTCAAACAGAAACCACCCACTGCATTTAATTTGGAGCCTGGTCCTTACATGAAAGAAAAAAAAACAAACCAATGCTCGTTTCCAGATTATTTGCTGTTTGTTTTACCAACAAAAATGTACAAGGTCTAATCTTTCAAATGTGAAATCCTGACCTAATTATTTAGAAAAACTGGTGCTGGAACTTCCTACCTCCATGATTTGACAAACTGTGTATACATGTACATCAGCACAGATACACTAATAAAAAGCTTTTTTCTTTGCTTTGCTATGACCACACAATGACAACACTGCAGTATCCTTCGTTTATTTGTGTTTATTCCAAGTTGTATATGTATGTGCACTTTGCCACTGTAAACTCACGGCAGGGCTGCAGATGCACGCATTCCAAGCTGTCGGCTAATAGAAACCCTACATGATAAATTGCGCAGGAAGACTGATAGACCCAGATTGAAAATTCTGATTGACGATCCACTTTGCCAATGGAATATTTCGGTTGCCACTGGGAACAGGTTTTTTTTTTACTGGCTGGCCTTCTGTCTTTGAGGCCTATTGCTAGTTTTCAATTTAAGCCAGAGAGTGCTGGCCATTGGAATTCGAGGTGGAAGTTAAATTTATGGACAGGTCGTAAGTGACCTGAATTCTGAATTATCAGGCCAGCATTTGCTCTACATGTCTGGACTCACTTGAATTAATGCCATGGACTACACAACTACGTGACTATACTCATTTGCCATTTTTTATCTTTTGTCTTACTTTAACTTCTGTACAAATGGGTGCCTTTAATAGTCTGTCTTCTTAATCAATATATGAGTTATTATTATATAACTTTTCATATAGTGTTTTAAACTGGCCTATTTATGTATTTATTTGTAAAATTGACCACAATTCAGCCTCTTTGGCTGTGAGAGTCTCCTTTTAATCATTTTTATCAAACCATTAATAATTATACACAAATTTGGCAGATGAAAAACGTCATGAACGTTCCCAAAATAAAGATGTACATGTATGCATATATTTTAAGAAAAAGAAAAGAAAGCAATTACTTAGAAATAAACTGTGAAGTGTCTTCAGAGTATTGTAATCTTAATGTTCAAATGTGAGGGACTGAACTACTTGACAGCTAATTACAACCCTGGGAAGAGCCTAATTTCTTAATTTAAAAAAAATTTATGGCCAAATGCAATGACCTTTCATCATATGTAACTCTGTGAATACTTTCTGTATTAAACAGATGTGGCAACTACAAAAATGTCTTTATATTCTGTAAAAAAAAATAAACGGTATTCTTTTAATTTTCAACAAACCAACTGCTAGTGAGTACATGTATTTTACTCAGCACACACAAACAAGAATGTGGGAACTGTTGGTTTAACTGATAAGTGTCAACAAACATTTCCCAAGATATTTAAGCACACTTCAGAAACAGGGAAGTGCAAACAAATCAAGGACAAAATGTTGAATGCAAATGAAGTGTTGGAATATATCACAATGTTTGGAGGACCCCTTCTGCAATACCTTATCAGCTGGATCCACGAGATGGAATGTTGGAAATGCAAGATAACACCACATATCAGTATCTCCAGAATTTGTCTAAGCATATTTTAGGCTACTGCAGTTCTCATGAATGACAGAATGCAACTCGTTTCATTTTTATAGTTGGCAAAATCAAGTTTAAATGGCCACTGGGTAAAAATAGGCAATACACACGATATGTTTGCTTGTGAAAACTTCAAAAAAAGGACAAGATGGTCAAAAGCTCAAACTTCTACAATCCCCACCCCACCCCCCCCAGAAAGTTTAAAACATCTGAACAAAATATGTAGCTGAACATTTCTCCCTTTCAATAGAAAAATTAGAGGTCACAACACAGCAGTTTCAAAATTGTAATTGAATGCATACATCACCTGAACCTACTTGGCCTTTTTCTACGAACGTCCAGGGTGACATTTACATGCAGGGAACTGTGCCCTTTTCGTTTCATTTGCTTTTCCTGTCTTTTATAGACTGACTAATTCTGTTTTTTTACATCAAGTGCAGTGACAGGATTTTATGTCCAGGAAATGTACAGGTACTGTGGGTTGAACTGGGCCTGTGAATTATATTGCCATACACGTAACGTGTAACATGTGGATCTCTGGTATTGAGCAAGAATATATGTACAAGCAAGTGTACATGTTTTATTGAAGGCACCGTATAGTCCAGCATCTGCGGTTATCCAAAATGTAATTGACAAAATAATTGTTGAAAAGCAGACTTGATTTAAAGATGGTTAATTAATAAGGGACCAAACTCCCTGTGACTTTTTTTCTGGCAAGCTGTCACTTTGAAGAAAGCAATGAAAGAAATCCATTTCCAACGATGCGTCTGAAAATGCGTTTTTAAAAAACTGGCATAAGCAGTGCATTTCGGTTCACTGCGTGACATCACATGGCTGTGTTTGACTGAGCGTGAGACCATGTCTCAGATGCTGAATTCAGGTGCAGCTCAAATCGTGACTTGTCAACTTCAGATCCGAAATCAAACTTCTGGAATGTTGTTTTTTCTCAGAATGCACAGAATTGACTGAGCAGGAACTTCATCGGGTTGGTTCTGAGGCACCCTTCTTTAGATTTTGAGTAATTTTGTTCCTCAGAGGAACACGATGCATCAATGACAACTGATGGACTGTACAACACTTGTCAGAAATCACCCTTTTCCAGTTGCCTACCAGCTTAAATTCTGATCAGCAGATAAGCCTGAATATGTATCTGGAAGGCCTACAGTGAATATTTCATTCATGAGCTACAAATGTGTGATTTTTTTTTTCAGGGGAGGGGGATTTCAACAACCTTTTAGTTAAAAAATGAACCTCAAAAACAAGTCAACTTTGTCAATAATAGCTCATTTAGTTTTATACAAGCATACCGGTAATTGTCATAAAAGCTGAAAAGCAAATGGAAAAAGAACATATAAAATAAAAAGAAAAAAAAATTGGCATCAATTTTAACAGCCAACTCCAATAAAATAGTCTTGTGACTCAATGACAAAATATGCTTCACCAGGTTTTATAAATGCACACTCCCGATGATTCCAGCCAATGTTTGCAATTTAAAGGACTGTCATCCATCATCGTTCAATGTGCCCGGATATTCACACGGTTTGAACACCCATTAAATCTTTGTGTACTGAACAAAACGTATTTTACAGGAGCATTATCGTGCTGTACATGCGGATATGCTCTACCAAATGAAGTTGTTTTAATCCCTGCCGTTCATAAAAAATCTACTTTTAGTGCTAATTTGGCAGAGCAAATGTTCCATTTTCATCCCTACGGAAGTCAGGAGAACTTTCCATTAGAGAGGCTGAGATTTAAAGACCAACTCCAATGGTTTTATAAATTTTGAAAATAAACTATGATTGTATTTAGCATGTAATAAATAAAATGTTCATTACCAAATCATGTCTGTATTGCATCTGTAGTTTGTGTAATTTTGCCTAAACTTTTGAACGATGTCTTTGAGTTTTATGAAAAATTTCCACAATCTGACAGCTGGCAGCACTGTTGAGAAACGAAATTTGTGTGACGTAATTCCAGAGTAAACATTGACACTGGTATCCGTGGCATGACTGGTTCCGCTACAAACATACATGCACATGTACATGAAATGGAGCTACGTGTACATGTGCGTACACTGCGTACCAGGGATCGATCCATGTGCCAGGTCTACTGTGCCACATTATCTCTTTTCCACGGAGAGTTGTCTTTCTCCATGATTTACAACAATGCTGAAATCGAGCGTCATTGGTGGATGTATAAATCCTGCGAAAGAACCGGGATTGAAATTCTTAGAGTTTCCGAAGAATGAGAGCGTTCTTCAAGTTCGTGCTGTCATCTGTGGCTATGTGCTATGCATGCTGCACAAGCACTGTCCATTTTTACAATATCGGACTGGACTCGCAGGAAAAATGGACACAACAACTGTGCTTTATAAACACAAAATGTGTACTGCAAGGGAGGTATTGATATGTGCCACTTTAATTAGACTTGGCTCTTCTGAATAAGATTCAATATGAGAAAAATTAGCATCGTTGGAGTTGGTCTTTAACCATGTACAGGTGAGAATACATAGGTATGGCAGTAAAATACAAATAAATGCCAAATGAACACAAAGCAGCCCGTTATTATGAGGCTGTGCTTGGAAGACAAAGACTCCTTTATGTCATTGCTTATTATTTAAGGCTCTACAAAGGGCCAACACGCACCTGCTCATCTCAGATGCTTCCAACCACAGCGAAGCTTGCTACAAATCAGTTTGTTCAAACATCCATCTTTTCAACACTAAAGTAACCTCTTATTGGCACAGATAGGCGTTACACTTGTCGCAGCGCATACGCAATCTCAACCTCGCCATTTTAGTACTAATAGAGTGCATACTCAATCTCAATCTCGCCATTTTGGTACTACATGTAATATGAGGAATAAACTATTTGTAAATTTGGGTTCTAGGAAATGGCAACATCACTCAAAAAAAAGGAGATTCAATGTGTGAATCATTTCAGCACACTATTTCAGGAACTTTGTAATTGAGTGTAGGCAAGACATTTAACAAGAGGACAAAGTCAGATTTCCATAAATTTACACACATACCACAGGTCTTTAAACCCATTTAGGAATATTCACCAATTATCCTCGTTAAAAAAACTACTGTACAAAGGGTACAATGTCACAGGATTATTGCTACACTTTTATCTTGCAACCACTATGTGGTTTTTATCACTGACTTATTACTTAACTTATGACTTACAAGCTCGTTAAAATCCACATCTTACGTTTTCATGAAACTCGACCAAAATACCCAAAAAGGAGTGAAAACCAAGAAACTATTAAAGCAGGTGTCTCAACATTTGTGTCCGTCTGATCTCACATATATATCAAAAATTTCTCCGATGAACCCTGTCTCGGTTAAGGTTCTGGCAAAAGTTCTGAGATCTCGGTCGCTCTAACGTCACAGGAATGGATAGGGGATTTCATGTTGGGAGCATATTCTTCTGCAAATCCGATCAGGAAGGGCAAGACTAGACATATACCCCTGGGGCCACGCCCCTCTTGAATGGTTCCCCGCTCATCCAAATAACAGGCTGTGATGCAACCCTGGTTTCAACGTTCAGTTTTGGTTAGAAATTCTAAACTGGGCACCGTCTTAACTGCAAAGATATCTTCATGCTCTGGAGCTCGAGGAAGGAAACTGCAATCCCCAGAAAGATTTTCTTTTTCGACGATCCGCAAGGCTGTTTGAAACAACATCCTCGTATAAGAGCCACACATGAAAGCAGCATGACTCGGCACATCTGTTGAATCTAACGAGCTGTCCAAATTGGGAGCTGTTCAGTTTAATCCTAACCTGTCCCAAATCTCGCGAGGGGTTTACCGCGGATTTGGGGAATAATGAGGCTGCACGGCAAAAGCATGCGGTTGATTTGGAAGGATGCACTGTGTCGAGATCTGGCGCCGGATCTTGTGGATTTTTATGCACAGCCATGTGTAAAGTTAGGTCAAGATTATCCTGGAAATCGACCTTGCCACTCCAGGAGAGCACTTGCGTCCCTTGAATAAACTGAAAAGAATGGCCAGAGGATTTTTGAAAGACAGAGGCAGTGGTTACCCCTCCGAGGAACACATTCCAAAATAATGGAGGGTCATGGAGGATTGAGGCTGTATTCAATTTTGTACATGGAGACCGTTGTGGTATTCACGCTATATCCACGTTATCTTTAAGGTCAGTGATAACCTTGGGCCGATTTCTCCCGAGTGAAGAATACTGCCTAGATTACCTGTCCCCGTGCTTACAGCATGGACGACGTTTCGGCTGGTCCGTCTCGAGGCTCCTCCTTGGCCTCCCCTTCCTGAATCCCTCTGGACTCCTCCCCTTCGGGAGCGAGGACCTTGACCTTGGGGATCCGTTGCCCCCTGATGTCGTCCCTTGTCAGTGATTTCTCCAGGAGCCTGGGTCCTCCGAGCGCAATCAGGATGGCGCCGATTGGAGCAGTCAGAATGATGGAGAGCACCGCAAGGGTCAGAACCTGCATAATCAGAATATTCCTGAGTGAATTCTTGTCTTGTCTAGTCCTGTTTTGAACTGGCTAGGGCGGGAGGCAATAAGCAAACATAAGCTGTTGTTTATTTGGTACAAATTTGATTTCAAACTGTTTGACTACCATCCATTAGACTGCATAAACACAGACCATGCGTTTGAATTCAATTGATTCAGAATATGATTTGTGGCAGTGCATGAGGAATTTCTTTCTGGAAAAATAATTTGTTATGCTAATGCTGACTTTTCAGTGTGACACTTGATGCCTCTGTGGGGAAGGGCAGATAACCGATTAGAATTGACCGTATTGCCTTCAGCTCCGGAAAAGGTTGTGTTTTGCATACACTTAATGGAAGCACAGTTTTCAAAGGTCCTGCGATTCTGAAGCAACTAAGGCCTAAAACAACTGTTACAAGAAGAAGTGTGTGTACATCTGCTTGAAACACTACCATAAAGCATTGTATTGGGGGAGGGGGAGTCTGGGTTTGTGACTGCTAAATGCTGCACCACCCTATCAAGCATATTCCTTATACCCAGCAAGAAATGAGACCGAGGGGTACCCCCCCCCAACATGTCCAATCCCTATACACATTCCAGACTATTGTTACTTAACACATCCCGCCAAGATGTCTGAAAGGAATTCCCCAGATTCCTGCGAGACGATGACCAACACAAAGCAGAGGGGTTCTCTCCGTCTCATACCTTGCTGCATATGATATTCCTTTGACCTTTCCTTACACGAAAATTAAGATGTTGGAAAATTTCTCAAAGGTACACGTAGCTTCTAAGTTGTCAGTTTATTCCCAGAGTCTAAGTCCCCCCCCATCAAGTGTTGCACTCTGCTCCCGATTAACGCAGCTGCTAATTGGACAGGTAGTTCAACTTCTCATTCAACAATGCAGTGATGCACTGGTGTCACAGCAATCCCATTGGTGAATATTTACCACCGTTGAGATAACAAAAGAGTGGGTGACAGAGCTCTTTGTAAGATCAGTGTGGAGCGGGCTACTTACTTTGATTCCATTCTGCTCTGCTATTGGCCCGGCATTCTTGTCTTTTGCAACCTCCAATGCCAGTGGACCAATGGCAGCCTGGGAAATATAATGCGATGGTACATTACAAACTTTGCATTTTATTAGGAAAAACAACGTGGATAAGAGATGGAGTTGGTTAAATACGCTTTATGATGATTCATGAGCTTTTTCTAAATCAAACTTGTGAGTTATGAACGGTTTGTAAATTTTACTTTTCATTTGTTGAAGTACATGTGTACTGTATGTACGTGGTATGTTTTTGCAATTTAGATTTGTAACCAGTAAGTCCTGCCCACTTCATAGGCCTTGACTTTGCACGAAAAAGAACCGTCCTTTGTAAAGTCAAACTGTTTCAAAGGGTTCTTTTCAGCATAACTATCGATATGCCCTCTATTGTGTTTCACAGACTGCGCAGCACCTTACCTGCACTGTTGCCTTTGGTAGCCAAGCGAGGGCAGCAAACACCTTAGATTTCAAATCCAACCCTGCTTTGCACACCATCAGGTAAGTGACTATTGTCCGCACAATGAGACCTATCACCATTATGGCTATGCCAAAACCTGGATGTAGAGGGGAAAAATGTGGTCATCAATGGCCATTGAAGTTATACGAGGCTAGATCCGACAAAAAACATGTCATAACGCCTTTATGCCTGTAATTATTCTCTTTTGGTATCCATCAAGGGTGTCCCATAGTTCATTCTATGCTTGTCATATTTTGCTGGCCTTGAGGAAATGTCGGGGAAAAATAAGAGTTCAAAATTGTCAAGTCGCCGGGATTTCCTGGGATTATGATATTTTGCCCCCTTGTTTTCTTGGTCGGAAATTCTTCTTCCTTAGTGGGAACCAAAAATAAGGGTTGGTTGGAAATGAGAACCAGAGAGTTAACTATGGATGCCCTCAGAGAAAACTAAGCTCTGTTTTGATGTATCACTCAGTGTGGCATCCAGTGATAAGTATTCCTAATAAGTGCAGTGCGTGACATTGTTTCATAGGCTTTAATTCAAAAGTGGCTCAAGGGACTTTCCACTTCTTCTGTTAGGTTGACTCACAAATATCTTGTCAGGACTGTCTGAAGATATATTAATAAGCCAGACGTTTCATTTCAGACAGCAGGAACACCGTCCTGTCAGAGGGTGGGGATCTTTTATCCAAGATTTCACTGTAGAGGTCAAAATCCCCCCCCCCAACAAAAAAACTTGCTGATGTATGAAACATATTTTGATGACTAGCACCGATTTAATGATCAGTCCACCACGGATGTATGGGCAGAGTTTTAGCTTAAGTCTGGTCTTGAAGAGAACCTTCATTTTGACACAAAATAAATAGGTTCAGTTCTTGAGAAAGACTCACCCACTGTGTTCCCATCCAAGTATTCGACTGACACGGCAGCGCCTATAATGCCAAACAGGATCGGCTCAAAGAGGGTCCAGATGATGCCCACGATCTTATTGACGGGCTCCTGGAACAAAATGAAAGCCGACAAATGCATTGTTAAGCACCAACAATGCTGTCTTGACCAACACTGCCTGTAAATGAAGAACTAAGGCCGTGTCGGAAATGGGCTTCCAGAGCTACGGCTAGGTCTATCGTCTATGCGTCTCCACGCATTTCCAATGGAACGAAGACCTAGACCTAGCTCTAGACAAGAGATTCGGATTCAGCCTAAGTCCCACAATTAGGCATGTATGATACATGTTTGAGAGAGAACCTTTATCAGTTAGACTTAAAAGATTGGCAAACACTGATCAAAACGATTCACATGTCGTTAAGTATTTTTTGTATTCATTTTGCGTCCCTAAGCAGGATGGTTTAACTTAATGCTTCATTACCCAAAGAATTAACTCTTGTACAAATATCCAGGATGTGAGTAAGGACTGTAAGTCCTCCGTCCTACACATCATGCTAAATGACCACTCACGTCAGCTTTTGGGGGTTCTGAGACCTTTCGTTTCCTTCAACACTATTACGCCAAATATCACCTGCAACAGATGCAGTGACAGTTACCTTGGCTCTGCCCCACCCCTGAGCAGCTACAAAAGGCAGAATGAGACATCCCATGGCCCCCGCGCCGGTGAAGCCAGCTTGAGCAAATCCAAACACGGAGAACAGTCCTCCGCCGCAGACGAGCAGAGCACGCTTCCACGTCAGAGATTTCTGGGTACGATTTCAATTTAAAGACAAACCTTGCCATAGTTACAGGGCTAAAAACTGACCTTTGTCACTGTCTTTGAACACATCTTGCAAAGCTTCCATATAAATGAGCATATCTCTTTCACATTCATGACCTATTCTACCCTTGTCCACTTTGTTCCTGCAGTACAAAGACATCATTTGTTCAGCAGCACAGACCAACTCTTAACCTCACCGAAATGAATCAGGATTCAATCTTAGGTCCACAGTTTTTTATGTCATTATTCTTCTGAACACTACCATGCCAAGACTAGTTACCAACCCTGTTCTGATTATTACAGAATACCAATATAAAGACAGTTATAATTACCTGGTTTTTGTTTGGGATGTACCATAGGAAAATACCGCCCACACAACCAAAAGCCACGCCCATCAGCAACTCAATCGGAGCTCTAAATATATCGAACACCAAGTCGCCAACATCTACACGTAGATTAAGAAAAACAATATCTCACGGGAATGATTGCTTTGTTTGTTGCAGTTTTATGGAAAGACCAATTTTCACAAATACATTTGATTTAGCATTGTCTGAGCTAGGTGAGTTTCCAGAGGACAAATTGTTTCTTGGAGGACACAAAATATTGATCACATACGTCTTCCTTGATTTTGATAACTAACATCTTTCCTAAGACAAAGATCATCTGGATCAATGTCACATGACTCTCAGTCATGCCATTCTTCCTCAGAATGGCTCAATTTCATCTACTTCAGGCAAGTCCAGGGCAAACTACAGTTTAAAGACTAGTTAATTTGTTTAACAATGCACAGTACAGCCATAATAAAATTACCACAGTTGAATTGCTCTCTCAAAACTCATCATCACTCACATTCGCTGCTGGCTATAACTCACACAGCGTTCATGGTTAATGATATCTCATACAACCAAACAATGATTTATGCATGAATGGTTCCCTCCATAACAGTAAATAAATCAGGTATTGGTAACCACCGGTGCTGCCATCCCAAAGGCCTGGCTCCAAATGATCGACTGGTTGGTCCAACCACCCGTCATTTGAACGACATTGGTCAAACTACAGTTAATTATAGTCATCACGTGAATTAGCCCTTTGCTGCATAACATCAAATATCAGTGAGATCATTTCCTTGCCACACACCTAAAAAAAAATCATATGCAACAACATTTTTAAAGACATTTCTATGGAAGAAGAACCATGTGATTACATCTAATGATGTAACTTTGGCCAAAACCACCTGGGCAATTCAGGTCTTCGGCGTAGCCTCTTTACACTTACCATCACTGGAGCTATCCGACGTACTCAAAAAGGGTTGTTCTGTGATGTTGCTGTAGCTTGTGTTCATTTGTTGGTCACTGACACCAGTGTTGTCTGTGACAATAAGCAAAACAAGATAAAGAACTGAGTAATGAGCGGGCTTTCGCTAACAACTGTCAAAATGTTTTCTAGTGTAGTCATTGGCTAGCGACTGTCAAAATCTTTTCTAGTGTGGTCTTTGGCTAGCGACCGTCAAAAAGTTTTCTAGTGTAGTCTTTGGCTAGCAACTGTCAAAAATTTCCTAGTGTGGTCTTTGGCTAGCAACTGTCAAACCGTTTTCTAGTGTAGTCTTTGACTAGCGACTGTCAGAAATTTTCTAGTGTGATCTTTGGCTAGCGACTGTCAAAAAGTTTTCTAGTGTAGTCTTTGGCTAGCAACTGTCAAAAATTTCCTAGTGTTGTCTTTGGCTAGCAACTGTCACAAAGTTTTCTAGTGTAGTCTTTGACTAGCGACTGTCAGAAATTTTCTAGTGTGATCTTTGGCTAGCGACTGTCAAAAAGTTTTCTAGTGTAGTCTTTGGCTAGCAACTGTCAAAAATTTCCTAGTGTTGTCTTTGGCTAGCAACTGTCAAAAATTTTCTAGTGTGGTCTTTGCCAAGCAACTGTCACAAAGTTTTCTAGTGTGCTTTTTGACTAACAACTGTCAAAACATTTTCGAGTTTGGTCTTTGACTAGAGACTGTCAACACGTTTTCTAGTGTGATCTTTAACTAGTGTCTATTAAAAATGTTTCTGGCATGGTCTTCAGCAGGCAACTGTCAAAAACTTTGCCAGTGTGGTCTTAGTTCGAGTAGATGGTCAACATAAAGTTACTTGAATACTTCTCACAGCCATTGTGAACTGATTTTTGGCTTCATATCTGCCTCTGTGGACTACTGCCCAAATGCCTGGTGTGGCTATCTAGTGACATAATGTGGCAACTCATTCCGATCCAATATGGGTTGATCAAAGTTGTGGTCAGTCCATACTGAGCAATGTCGGTTTTCCAGAGGGATCCAACTGGTTTTTTTGTTTGTTGGGTTAGTTGTTTGTCAGATTGGAGATGTTTGAATGATGGAAAAGGGCAAACGGTATTATGACCAAAAGTCTCTTTTGTGAAGATTTTGTGATTCTAAATGCTCAACAAGCTTAAACTCCAGTCATCATCGGACAGCAGACAACCAGACTACACAAGCTGTGATCTTGCTTTGTCCAGGAATGCCTATCTAGGATATATGATTATGAACGTTTTCAGATGAACTTTGATAAACAGTAGTTTTCCAAAGGATGTTGCTCTATGACCCTGCTCTATAACAGGCTGAGAACTCGCTAGCACATACTGATGTCTTTTAGAGGGTGTTGTGAATGAGTGCTGTTGGATATCCCTCAACAAGGCCAATCATTTTGAGATTTATTTTAAAGTGATGCTGCAGAAAGTTAAATGGTCTAGGTGATGAATTTTTTTTCACACTTTTTATGGAACTTAATATCCCTTTGTATGAAGGCTACCAATATTTAACAATCCTTTCAGATTTAAGTGTATTGAAAAGCCCACTTGTTTAACCACTGAAAATTGTCCATGCCTTTCCAGACAACTGAGGGCACTGTTGTTGTGAAGTAAGTCAGGCAAGACAGTGTTTAGTTTATAGGTTTTCTGATCAGATGGTGAAACCAAAATTTGCTACTTGAAAACATCTTTGAGAGAGGATTGATCACTGGCGCATTACTACATGTATGTGCTGCGACCTAGACAATAATGAATCCCTATACAAAAAAATGAAATTTAAAAGAGTAGAATATTTCAAATCCTAGCGTGCGTTTGTGGACAAAATAACACCAGGATTCTTTGACCGTGACTGCTGGGCTGTGGTATGCCCAGTATGCAATGCCCTGTCCAGCGGCAGGCCCACATTGAAACTGCAGCTGCATGATGAATACAATGTAAGTGTGGTAAGCACTAATCCTCACACAAAGCCGCGGCTGTGGACGGCTCCGGGTATGAAGGGGTTTCAACTTGGCACCTCACCAACTTGGCACCCAGTCAGCTCAGTGGTTACTGCATATGGAAATAATTAGCACTAAAACCAAAAATGGTACCCAAGAATACATGTAACAGAATAAAAATTGAAAATAGGATCATTGAGACACAAGGATGCATTTTCAAGAGCACGGACCTTCCAAGCTGGAAACAGAGCTTGACTGTATTTCTTCTTTTGCATTTACGTGTAAAATGTGTTTTGCACCCACCCGATGAAAAAGCGATACCCAGAGCGACGCCGAATGCTGCGATTGCAAAGACGTTTTCACAGCTCGCTGAGGCAACAATCAGCGTTGGCACCCCCCTGCGGATGCCGTAACCTTTCTCCTGTAACTCCAGAACCGACGGTACCACGACGGCTGGTGAAACCGCTGCTATAACAAAACTGAACAAGACATTTGAACGTTTACATGCCGACGGTGGCAAGTTAATAAGAAATAGGTTTGCGGTATCACCATGCTAGATATCTCTTTTGTGAGTATGTGTGGTTCTCAAATGATCTGGAGGGTTCTCAATGTTTCAGACAGTATGCTGTCAATCGTCAGGAGACTCACAGAACATAAATCCTTCCTAAATTCCATGGAACCTACGTCCAGTAAGACTCAAAAGGCAAGAAACGACAAGTTCATGGTTATAATTCCTTACTTCTAAGGAGAGAAAAAGTTGACATTAATAGCGGAATGCGAGGACTTTACATCCAAAGCTGGAAGATAATTGACAACTCTAATGGACTTTAGCATATTAGGTTGAAAACTGCTCTTATCAAAAGTTAAGAGATCCTGAATCAGTCGTCTATTGGAATCTCTATCCACCTGACTTGAAGTACTCCCTCCTGGGCGAGAAAGTGACAGGCTGATGAGAGGTTTTTCCAACTGGGGCTTATCACAAGTGTGACATTCATGTGCAGACTGTATATTCCGATAAAAAGCTGTAACGTGTCTTACACAAAGGTGCATAAAAATGAGCATGTATGCGATGAGTCCTCATGAAAGGATAGTAATTGCTTTTTAAAAGTGAGCCATATCTAGTCCGGGGGGGGGGGGACTCTGATTACAAAAAGTGAGTGCATGTTTTCCGATGAAGCGGGGCTCACCCGAGCATGAAGGCCCAATCCCAGCCGAAGCCCAGCAGACCGCGTGACACCAAGGCAACGGTAACAGCCTCTGACACGCACGGCACGGTGGCCAGACGGGCACACACCACGCTGAGCCTGCGCAGGGCCGCCGCGTCAATGCCCAGCCCCGCCTTGACCAGGATCACCACCAGGGCGATGTTGCGGAGTGCCGAGGCCCAGCCGGGGTGGATGTCGTCCGCAATCTGGATGCCTGGCACGTTCTTGAACATGAAACCCACCAGCAGCATGCCTGAATGGGAAAGTATAAGGATGTGAGATGGATGACTTCCGTCAAACTCTTTGTACTCTGCAATTCAGACTTTGCAGTGTTCGCTAAGTTCTAAATTGTAAACTCAGTGGGAATTGACACAAACACTGGAACCAGAAAGAAGGAATAAAGCCTATTCATGGGTTTCACGCCCCCCCAAATGAGTTCAGGGCTCGTGTTTTCCTGAGCATTTTAGAGGAATTTGGCTGTCGTAAACAGTGGTTGCAACTTTAAACATTTGTACATGTAAACAGCGTTTTTTGTTCAGGATAATGTTGTGTGAGATGAAATGTTCCAGAATGCCATTGTAACATCCAAAATCTCAAACTTGGTGACTTGATTTTAAAGCCTGCTGGGCTACTTTTTAAACATGGAGGGGAAACAAGTAAACTTGGTCCGTCGCCAAGCTAGTTCTGTACCTGTAGCTTGGGGAACGCTGATTTACATGAACAAGAACATTATACTTTTCCACGTTAAGAATTTCCACAGATGTACTTGCATTGGGGAAAATGTTAATTATGGGTTTTGTCCTTACACCTTGCATATCCATTATACTGTTAGCTCAGAGTAGTCCAAGAGCTCGTGAAAACATTCACCAGCATACTTGGGAGTCTAACCCAAGACGTCTGCATTCGTGAGCAGGAGGTAGCGGGTTCCAGTCCCAACTGAGTATTAAGCTTCTGGATTTTTCTACAAGCTCTCGGACAATGTCGAGCGCTGTGTTATGAAGAAATGTTGGTGTAAGGGAAAACCCATTAATTAATTAATTTGGAATGTTACAAGAGCAGTGACTTATCAAGCCTTAAACTCACCTAGCAAGGCCGGCAAGTGAACTAACTCAATGAGTTTTCCTCCAAGAGCTGCCACGACCACAAGAACATAGATGGCAAAAAGGTTCCCACCGGGCAAGGCCTCAGCCCCGGTGATGGACCACAGTACCGCCCACAGCAGCACCACGATTGTGACATTCAGGACGACCTTGGCCACGAGGCCGTGAGGCGGGCACAGGACGGCAAACTTGAGCCGGGCACGGTGGGACGGGTCCGGGGGAAGCTGATTGTGTTTGGCCAGACACGGCCGACAGGCCATCTTGCATCGGTCCCTCAACCCCAAGCAACACTGGGGCTCCCTGTCTTCAGGATAGCTCATCTGAACGTGGTTCATCGGGACGTCGGTGTTGATGACGGCAAAGCTACCGTGCTCGTCTACACCCATCGGCAAGCCGTGCCACGGTGCACTTTCCTCCTCCTCACCGTCGGCCAAGGTATCATCTCCACCCCCTTCTAAGGGAATGCTCGTATCCGGTGTACTATTCATTGTAGTGCTATTGGGGCTTGCGTATTGGCTCTTCTCATCCTGGAAGGTGGAATAGTCCTCGGGCTTTGCCACCTCCAGGTCTGTGGTGTTCCCTGTCTTGTAGGATGTCGAGACAATGTTTCCTCCCATATCTGCCTAGTAGTATTACGATGTTTTCTTCAAGATTTTCTCTTTGCCTCAAGAAATCCACATGGGCCCTTTGGGTTCAAAGCAGAACATGGAAAAAACAGTTGTAAGTTTGAGGAACCTGTAAAAAGTGACTTAAAAGTACCATATGTCAAACAAATTTTAAAAAATTGAGAGCCAAATTCTCATGAGACCGTTTTTCCATCACGTGCCGTTCACCTATTGTTGCTGTTGCCAAGAACACATGCAAGCTTTCAGGTACAGAGTACATGGAAATATGTGGTCGTTCATCCATGCATGTGCTTTACAAAGCAATCGAGGAACCGTTGCACGGTTGTAGTATGCACGTGCTAACATTTTCTTTTTCACAGACTTACAGTCTTGTTTCAATTGATTATAGGCCTAATTTGTAAAAAATTTATATATTGTATTCTGTTAATTTTTTTGTTTTGGTAGAATGTCCCAGAAATAATGGCAAGAGTTGCACATGCAGTACCTGCTGACCTGATTGGGTACCAAGTTGGTGAGGTACCAAGTTAATGAAGTTCTGAGTTGACATAATGCCAAGCTACCGTTCGTACCTTACCGCTACAAGTGTTGGTACTGGATAGGAAGGTTTCCCACTTGAACGGGAAATTCATCTTTTGTTCAAAAGTAGGTGAACCTTAAGCAACCATTGGAATTTTCAATTCCCACTTAATCCTACTTCAAGAAGTGTAAGGTTTTTACAAACCTTATCCAAGTTACAGTTCTGGAAGTAACTGAATTCTACAGTGGCTGCATTAGGGCTGTCCGACAACTCGATCCCACTACTCAACCACTGAGACAACTCCATTGGCGGGACAACTCGACCATTTACCAAGTCATCTATTACAACTCGACCGAGCAGGGCATGAACAAGACGGAGTGCGGGGCATTTAACAAGATTACCACTCGATGTGTTTGGGCAAAGTTACATGTGTTACGTTATGACCTCGACTTGCCGGGCATGATGTGCACAGGGACCCAGTGATGCAGCACGCACAGGACGGGTGGACAGCGCATCGGCCACCCCTACTGGATGTGCACAGTGAAAAGCTGTGACAGCAATGCGGCATGCATGGTGGCACTTGGCAGAGTCGCCTCAAAGAATGGGCCACGAGTTGGATTAGTGATGCACACTAGTACACTGGGAACAAGACCTTGTACATTTGTAGCTTCTTTCCATTCTGATGCGTACAAACACCGCAGTGAAATTATCCTTCAACTTTCAAATGTCTTAGTCATGTCGGTCATGAGGGGCAGTGAAAACATGTCACCCAGCAGCAAATGCTTTTTTTTTTCTGGTTTATTTTGTACAGGTTGGGCACATTTTCATGTTAACAACAAAAAGAAATCCCCAATACATCAATATCATACATTGGACTACATAGTGAACGTTTGCTACAACAATTAGGGCCTATTTAATGAGCACAGATGTGCAGGGTCTAGTCTAAATTATTACTAACATCATAATGCCTTGGTGTTAAGAAGGTAATGGTGTTTTCAAATGGGACAAAAAAATGAACAGATCTTGAAAATCAATTTGGTCAACGTCCGACCACTTTTTACTACGGTACTATACGGTATATTGTCACAAATAACATAGGCTTCCAGTGGACAACACCCTCTTTGCTGGCACAGATAGACTGCTTCCAGTGTCTCAAAGATAAGTTTGAAAGCAACAGCATTCATAAGAAACTGCATGGGATATGGTGGCAGAAAGGATGGCTGACAAGGGCTTTCCAGATATGACAGGCACCCAGTGAACAGTGGAGAAATCTGAAGCACAGGTACAAAAACCTATCGTCAGGAGGCCCTACTGGCATTGCACGGCCTGTATTGTTCGCTTACATATATCGTACTGTATTTCTTTTTGAGATGTGACACTTTTCTGATACTTACCTCAGGGTAATTTTAGTCTAGCCTTTTCGTACCCTTAACTTTTTTTTCACCTTAGTAAAAAAATAATTTCCACGTGATTATCATTGTTATCTTGTTCTAGATACAAAGCCATATGTGACAAGACAAAGACAGGATGAGGGAAAGGAGAATGGGAGTTGCTTGATCCAGTGGACGATGTCATTTGTGGGGATCCAGCAGTTAATCCTGAATCACTGGTTTCTCGTATGTCGCCACCGGTCTCCACAGCTGTTGCTACAGTTGTCCAGAACCACCATCGAAATCCTCAACTCCCTCCTCATCAGCAGTGTCGCCAGTGAAAGATGCAGATACTAGCCAAAACAATTACGTCACACCGTGCAAAACGGGGCGCCAAGCAACGATGGCACGGCAAATCATTGAGCAACAGCTTCAGGAGACAACTCTGCTGAAACTTGACTCCGTTGCACAAGAGCAGCGGCATTCAAACAAAATTCAGGAAGCAGGAAACAATCTTTTAAAAGAGTTTAATTCAATCCTGAAAATCTACCTGCAAAAACAACAACTAATTTATTTCCAAGGATGGATTTGCGCCGGGGAGAAGTAAATTAATTTTGGATTTTTTTTTGCCCCGCCCGACGTGTATTATAACACTGTATACTCAGTGTCTTCCCCCAAAGGCTTGTGAAAAAAACCACAAGTATATTCGGGTGGGACTCGAACCCCCAACTTCCTGTCTACTAGTGCGGATGTCTTAACCACTCGACCACCGAGCTTACCGGTGTCGCCTGCCTGGTTCAAGTCAGATTGTATTATAACACTGTAAACTCAGTGTTTGCCCCTGAAGGCTGATGAAAAATCTGACTCGAACCAGCCAGCCGACATCGGCAAGCTTGGTGGCTTAGTGGTTAAAACGTCTGCACTAGTAAGCAGGAAGTTGTGGGTTCAAGTCCCACCCTAGTACGCTTGTGGGGTTTTTTTTCACAAATCTTCGGGGGGGGGGGAAACACTCAGTATACAGTGGTGTCATATATATCGGGCAGTTAACTGGATATTTTACTAGCCTGTTTAAAGATTTACTAGCCCATATATAAAAAATCTAAAAACCGAAATCTATTATCAGCTCACTAATAAAGAATTTGACATATCAGAAAATAAAAGGCTGATGGTATAAATAAAGAAGCATGTGTGTTAGTTTAAACATCGCTTGAGTCACTGGTAACAGAGTCGGGAACAAAATCACCTCTTTGCTCCATCTTTCCTCTCATTTGGGTTGCTCACATTATCCAAAAAATGCCACTTTTTGCTTACTTTCTGATATTTATATATTGATTTATATTGAATACATGTATTTATTTTGATATAAGTTTTAACAGGTAGGCTTATTCTGAATTTTCTACTAGCCAGCCGGGCAACCAAGGAACAAAGTTTAAGATGCCCCCTGGAATTTGTACGCTGGGCTACTACTATTTCGAGGCCTGTTGAATAACACGCTGCTTAAGCCAGGAGTGACAAAAACTTGGTAAGATTATGGATTTGGAGTGGTTATTTCGGATACATAAATTCGTTCAATCGATAAGTTAGGGCCTTTAATCACTAGACACATTATTCAGCTTTATTTTAGTATCAACTACTTTGTGGGGCCATACGATGTAAAAATTGTGATGGTTATTCACCCGCAACACGACTACCTTGGACGTTTGGAGGCCTCGGCGCTTTCGTCATTAATGCGGCCAGGGTATGCCTGGGCCACGTCATGTGAACAACCATGAAGAACATTAGCAATAAAATTTAATATAAAGCCAACATAAAAAAAATCACTCAGTTACAACGAAGCGGTAAAAGAACAGACCGTCAGCAATCGGTAGACGCAGTCGTGTCTGTTGAACTTGTGAAGTTGACTTGAATTTCATTGATTTCTTTATCCCAGACAGTACATCTCCCAGATTCACGCTTTTGAAATAGCGCCCTCTTTTGATTATTTTTTTGAATTCGAGCCCTCTTATCTTGGCAATGATGTAATCGCGGTAGCGCCCTCTCGAAAACTCAAACCGATCAGGAATTAACAAAGAAAATAAAAACCCTTTACGTGTTCTTTTCCTAATGTTTTTGATGGACGTACCAGAAGATATTCAAATAATCGGGGGGGGGGGGGAGTACAGAGTAGTACTTTTTCAGGGTGCTGCACAACGTTCAGACAACTTTAGCAGGGAAAGCTGTTCTCCACCTCACAAATACGGGAATCATTTCGAGAAATTTCTATGAAACTTCTTTGTGGTATCCCTTTTTAACTGGGTACACAGCAAGGCACAATGAATTAATTCACTCAACAAACGTCCAATTTTTGCCCTAAGATGGGCATTTATGTTCTAAATTTTTTCAAAAACATTAGTATTTTAACCACAATTCCGAATTATTGGTTCATAGTTCATCTAGGCCTACCTGATCTAGAATATCATATTTAATGGTTGTATACAAAATAAAGAAGAGGAATTTTGAATACACTTTCTTAAAGATAAAATTTACAGCTCACAAAGCAGAATAAACTTTAACCACAACTAGTTCATCTGAGTCATAGCATTATGCAATATTTACATGGACAAATTGTGGAAATAGGTTGAAACATTTAATAGCCAGTCTGCAGTACAATGACATCGATTAAGTAAAAAATTCACACATTCAGAATCATAAACACCGAAAGCAACACACGAATACTGTAAAGTGAGGTAAAGGTCACTGACCCAGACACTAGATTTCATACAACAATGAGGCTACCACCTGTTATCACTACTCTCTTATAAAGAGATGAATAAAGTTACACAAATTGACTAAAGTACGTTTTAATGGCCAAAGCATAATACAGTACTTATTTCTTTGCCCAAGAAAATTAATTTGTTAAAGAGGTTAATGAGCCACATCACAAAGAATTAGTACTATACACTCATTACAGCCAACAAAGTACACGCCGTTTCCATATTTGTCCCGACCTTGACTGATGCTTGAAATCATGGGGCATAGAGTGAGCAAGTTGGGTAATCCGACACCTCCTGCTCAAAAACGAAAGTGTACCATTGGTCATTTGAGAACATCGGTGTTTGCGTGCAAGGTTGGCCTTATCAGAGTGGCCGAACACGTTCAAGCTCTTGTGATTTCAGCTGCTTTCTCCTTGCATGCCCATTGCCCTTTTTTGAAAAAAATGTCTCAGCTGGCTAACTGTCTTTGTGGCGCACCTTTAGGACAAATCATGAAAAAAAATTCCTTCACCAAGAGTACTGTCCGAGTAAATTTGTCCGTTCAGCGGTGGCCCTTATGCTGTAAATACAACACTTCACTTCCTTTTCACACAAGCTGGACTCTTGAAACGTTGGTAGGGAAATCATATTTACAACCTTTAGTGAATTATTTCTTAATGAATCATCTTTTGCTTACTTAAACCAATTAGAAGACCAAAAGTAGAATGCTTCATCATATTAAACTCTACAGAAAAATTTCATCATTTCCACGGAAACGGCTTTACACGCAGACAAAGCAATTATTTAATTGTCATAATTAATATTGCTCTGGGAAAGTTTTTGAACGGTGGGAATTATTGGCAATACCCTGTCATCCTTCAATTCTCTCAGTCCAGTGCTAAATTCAGAACACATCACCTCTGTGTTTCATCCATGGCGCAGTCAGGACTGAACAAATTCTTCAAACGCTTTCATCGTTTCGGGCAGCCTTGGCCCCCCTATCCAGCAGATTGGAATGATCCGGCTCGGGGCTGACGGGGGAGAGCTCCACGACTTCGCTCTCTGGGGGTGTCCCTACCAGATGGATTATAGGTCGGCGGTTGTTGTTGTCTCTGGGCACCTCGTTGACAGACTTGCTGAGGAGGCGTGGCCCAGCCAACGCTATGGCGATGGCCCCCAGGGGAGCCGTGACCAGGATGGAGAGAACTGCGACAGTAAGCAACTGTGATCAAACAAAGCGAATGAAAAAACTGATTGGACGGGCTAATCTCTCATGCATATGCAAGAGGCAGAAAGGTATGTACATGTTTCATTTTTTACCGTAGAAGACATGACACAAAGGATGTTCCTGTGTCCTCGGTGGTCAATTTATTGAGTTCAGTAATGTGTTCAGTCCTTGATAGTCAATCCATTGTCCTCAGTGGTCATTCCACTGTCCTTGGTGGTTAGTCCACTGTCCTCACCACTTAAGACCTTCACAAGACCACACAAGACCAACACAAGACCAAGCTATTCAAATGAACTGCAACAAAGGCATTCCTTTGTCATTGTTCAACCTGTTACTGGTGACTGGTCTTGTGACGGTCCTGACTACAACACTGGTCCTCAGGTCAATTATTGGCCTTGGTGGTCAGTCTTTTGTCTACAAAGATAGGAGCCTCTGCTTAGTTCATGGGAGATTGTTATATGTGACCTGAAGTCACCGGAGCCACTTTTGAGTCGCAGACCTTCTTCGTAAGAATCTTGCAAAGTGAAAATCAATGGGCACCATCGACATCTTTCGCCCACACAGTGTCTTCTTTCATTCGGATGACACCAAGGAGTGTATTACCAACAAAGAATGTTTGGTCTACTCTTGCGAACTGATGCCTTTTGGCTATTCTTTCCATAGGGCGTGTCACGTTTGGAATTCAATGGTATCATCAGTATATAACCACATGTGTAGTCATGCAAATACCACTAAAGATCTGATCTGCTATCAGCTGCAAACATCAGGTGTGTACTCTGGTATTTTCTGTATCCACTCTGAGCGGGAACAAAAGAGGGCGTGTTTTTAAATGAAATTGACAGTCTTTTGGTATGAACTTACTGCACAGGTAAGCACGTTTATGCGTATTTGAAGCAGAGCATGCTGAGTATGTGTAATGAATTTACTCTGGAATGTATGGGCTTTGGGTGCACACCGAATGCACGCAAGAACCCAGTTGGGAAAATTTCGTACCAGTTTGTCTTTCTTTCGCCAGTGAGCGTACACTTCAACTCGGGGTGGATTGCCAACATTCCTCCGGACATGAATCCCAGTTCATCACTTCTCGGGGATGCAACATTGCTCATGTTGCTTGTATCATGCTTTAGGGGCAAGATCCTAAGCTATAGATGTTTGGGTTTAACCCCTTCACGGTGGGATTATTTTGACCGTGACTGCTGGGCTGTGGTATGCCCTGAATGGAGGGCTTTGTCCAGCAGCAGGCCCCATTGAACCAGCAGCTGCATGGTGAATAGACTGTATGTGTGGTATGCACTAATGCTCACACAAAGGTGCTGTGCTGTAGTAGCAGTCATCCGTAGCGAAGGGGTTAACAGCCCCCGACTAGCTCCCACCAAACGAAAATATTAACAAACGGGAAGAACCGCCAACATGGGGCTGCATAGCTCAGATGGTAGAGCGGTGGTGCGGTGCTCCGGAGGTCCCGGGTTCAGATCCCACCCCAGTCAACTTCTGTGGTCATCTTTATAACTAATAACAGTCCTGGTGTGAACGTCTCACCCTGGCGAGAGGCAAACAACTAACCTGTGTTCCCAGCTCCTCATACTCCTTGCCAGCTCCCTGCTTGATGGCTGTGTCAAGAGCAACAGGTCCAATCGCAGCCTGTGAAATTGTCCAAATAATATTAATTTCAAGGATTCCATGCAAAAAGAAGAGTTTGATTCTTTTCCAAATGAGGCCCTTTGAGTTTATGATTGCCCTTTGAATTTATGATTGGTAAATTTATTCCAACCAAAGTTGATTTTTTTTTATCTCCCTATGCCTGTGTGATAGATAGAAACAGACGTATCCTTTTAAGGTAAAACCAATTCCTCTCCTGCAAACTCCCATAGTACATCGAGGAAAATTGGTTTATTTGAACCAGTTTTTAAGAGAGACAAATCTTCATTCAATTCTTTGATCAACTCAAGCGACGTTCTCCTACCTGCACAGTTGCTTTAGGCAGCCAAGCGAGGGCAATGAAGATCTTCTCTTTGAGATTCATTTTGGCTCTGAAGACAGCGAGGAATGAGGCCACTAGCCTGGCAACCAACCCGATGAATAACGTCGCCAGTCCAAGGCCTTGTATGAGAGAAAGCAGAAGCATGAACAGCGTGAAGTGGCTGCCAGACTTAACCTCAAGTCAATTCCATTCGATCAAATATTTGTTTATACCAAATTCCAACAACTGCAGAAACAAACTGTGCATGCCTTTTTGAGTGTAAAAAAAAAGAAAAGAAAACTTGAAAGGCAAAGTCATTTTGGCTTCGGCCTCACTGTATTCAGCTCCTTTAGCCTTGCTGGTACTCAGAAAAATGAATTTAAAAGGCAACGTTGTAACCAAATGATTACTTTTCCCCATTTTCAAATCATTCATTTATCTCTGAAATGATTGAGTAACTAATTATTCCAACATTCGCTAATAGATCGAATATCTGAATATTTGAATAATCAGCACAGCCCTACTGCAAGACTCAACAAATCTCAAGTGGCACTTCAAGATAGATATCTACGAACCTAGATTTATGGGAGGTAGCTGGAGGTAAATTGTCCTGCCTGAGGGCATGACTGGGACACAGGCTTGATTTGAACCCTTGCTACTTAACACTATGCCAAGGTGGCGCTGATGGCTCACCGATAGTGGCTGGCTGCACTGTTTCTACGGCAACTTCTGCACCAATTAGTCCAAACAGCAATGGCTCGAAGATAACCCACAGGAAATCAATGTTCTTTACAACAGGCTCCTGTAAGTAACAAACATCCACACTGCCGTCATTAAACTTTTAAATAGAAAACCTTTACCTGAACTACGAGAATGCAGAACACATTTCTGATAGAATTTTTCGTTGATACCTTTTACAGTTTAATTCTTCCGAATGCTCTCTTATTTTTATTTGAATGGATGCGAATCGAAACCAAACCTTGCTTTTTCTCCAGCCGTATCCTGCCACAAAAGCCATAGTCAGACAGCCGAGGGGCCCCGCACCAGAGAACTTCACTGCAGCGCTGCCGAAGATGACAAACAGCCCCCCGCCAAAGAGCAGAAAGGTGCGCCGCATGACAAAAGATTTCTGAAAAAGCAACAAACATTATCAACAATTTCATTAGGTGATCACGACGAGGACCATTAAATTACTACTGTAAACACGCTTTAGAATGATGTTGCCACTGAAGAAAGTTGACAAGAAACAAAAACCGTTACAGTATTTTTGCTCAATAGCAAACTTTTGTTCAAAATACAAACTTATATACGTCTATTACCAATTATGCTGCATTTTGAGTAAGTGATTTCAAACCAAAGATAAATCTTGCCACAATCAATTTTAGGGCTGCCCTGATAAATTTCCCCGTCATTTTCTATTGCTTTATCTCATTCTCTAAAAGACGGGGACGTTTTCTGACTGATGTTGCAGTAACACAGAATTCCAAGAGAGGTAAAGGAAGGAGATGCTTGTGATGAAGCAGTTACCTGGTATCTGTCTGGTAGGTACCACAGAACCACTCCAGCTAGACAGCCAAACGCGACCCCCACGACCAACTCCAGGGGTCCTCGTAGTATGTTGTAGACAAGGTCGCCTGCGGGGGAAATTTGCATAATGAAACCTTGGATGCCATGAATACGGAGGAAAAGTCAACCCCAAAAATCATACCCACTTGTTCAAGTTGTCACGGACCTTCTTACTGATGAATATGCAATCTGTAAGTATGCATGCCGCGGTGGCAAAACGCAAGAGATGCACATTGAAATTGTGCAAACTTCAATGTCATGTTTCTCTCGGGTTCTGCAGAACTTATATTTTCTTTTTTCAGAAAACCTTCTAAAATTGCCATAGCTTTCACTTTCTGGTCTAAATTTTCTTTTATGCTCTTGTTTTGAGCGCTCAAGGTCAAAAGAACTCGGCAGGGCTCCTTTCTGCATGAGCTTAGAAATCAACTACATTGCTTTGACGTAAAATGGTTATTTAACAGGGATTTGGTCACTGTCACCCATATCATGACTAACGTGGCAGCTTCTCTTTGCATTTATAAAAAAAATGTCATTTGGGGAATTTAGTTCCACTGCGAGAATGCTCAGAGTAAAAAAATGCATCGATGAGGGCGGCAAACAAAGCTAGCGATTTGATGATGTCTTTAAAATGAACTGTGGTATTCGGATTACCAGACATCCTTCATGTAGGCTGAATGTTGGACACTTTGGTTTTCCAAATCTCGTTATGGCTTTGCCAGCTCTTTCTCGCCACTGACTTTGGCGTACGTAATTCAAAAGACCATTTATGAAATGATATGTGAGCTGGGAGGGACTGGGTAGCGGCTGTGGCCACTTTCCATGGAATCATGTACTTCTCCTAGCCACAGTCAGTAGGTTCAGACATGGCTGATCATCACTTCTTCTCACTAATAACTACACCAGGCCTGTCATGATGGTGGTTTAATTTACCAAATCAGGCTGAGTGGTTTGATTAATTAAACTACGGTGGTTCCATCTCTAACTCCAGATCCTTTACAATGTTGGACTTTGCAAATGCTGACCCTTGGTGGTCATTTGTGTGCGACATATAACACATTGCTGTTTTTTGCATAGTCTGAGACTATGTTGTGATGCGATAATCGCTTCAACGCCTAGCCACGGCTCACCCACACTTTAAGACTCCACACACGCTTAATCTCTGCGAACCAGTTTGAGCCTAGTTGTGTGTACAAACTCAATGGGAATCACTCCCATGTGAACATCGTGTGAACATCCTCCATATTGTCACACAAGGAATCCCTGTGTGTTTAGACGACATCCGATGTGAAGTGGTCACAAAGCTGGTTATGTTTACTCAACATGGGTGCTTGTGCAAAAGAGAATGGACCACTACTGAATCTAGCAACCTGCAGGAGTCTGGAATGGTGGAACCTTTGTAAAACATACTAACTAGAGTCTGACAATGACGCTGGAGAATGAGTCTAAGTATACTCAACCCCTTAAGGTAAGAAAGAGCCCAATAGTTACTACTTGAATTTGAAAACAAGACAAAAATGGACATGATGTTTCAGCAGTCCAATAAAAATATTTGGTTGTATGGACAAATCTTGTGTCGTGAGCTAAGTCCAGGGGCCAATTTCATAGAGCTGCTTAAGCACAAAATTTGCGTGAAAAAACCTTGCTTGACAAATCAGGTTACCAGCCAAAACTCCATGTGATGTATATTGGTTTGGAATGGTATTCACCTGTCTTTTGGTGAGCATGACAATCACATAGAATTTGAGCTGGTAACCTTTGCTTTTTAAGCAAAGTTTTTTTGTGCTTAAGCAAATTTTGCGCTTAAGCAGCTCTATAAAATTGGCTCCAGGTTACAAATATATGACCGTATGCAGACAACAGTCATGATCATAGCTCTGAAAGCCTGTGTTGGACTTGACCTCGGTTTTCTACCTGTGGCAAAGGCAGCACCGAGTATCACCCCAAAGGCACTGATGGCTAGGATGTCATCGCAGCTGGCCGCGGCAATCACCAGGGTCGGAATGCCTTTAGCAACGCCGTAGCCTCGACTCTGGAGAGACAGCAAGGAAGGGACTATAACAGCCGGTGTGACGGCACCAAGCACAAAGCTGCACTCAGACGGAACAAAAAGAATAATAAAAGTCCGGTTAATGACTTGATTTTCTGAACGGTGATCATTTATGCTTGGACTTTTCACAGCTGGAATTGTTTCTGTGGAAGGTTATTTTGAAAAGGTAGAACTTGAATTTTGGTTTAAAAAGTAAATGGAATACCAGTCCAGAGGCTCTTGAAATTTACAGCATTGAAAGCACTTTTACAAGACTTTTACTTCCAATATAAACACCATCTTTTGAAAACTACTAAGAACGATCAGAGCACACTGGTCAAAATGATGAGTGCACGCTCTCCGGTTCTTATCAGAACCATACCTCTTCCAAAAAGAGATCTATCCCCATGGTGTTACCCGCAAGCCCTCTCTTTAGTCGATCTCCACAATGCAAAGCTTCAAGTCTTATCTACCATCTCCTTTAGTTTGCTCTTGCACAATTTCAACAAATAACACAGTGCTAAGACGGTTAATTTGGTATGATTAACTGTGGGGTTGGGGTCCAGTCAGGGTTAACAGCACTAGCACAAAACTACTGGGCCAGTGAACTTGTATGGTCACGGGCTGCACAAGACCAACATCAAAAATCAGGGAAAGGGAAAATGAACTCTGAGATTTCCCGCAGGATCGACCGACGGCATGGTGCAATCGACTGACTGACTGCAGCCGACAAACTCACCCCAGCATGAAGCCCCACGTCCAGGGGAACCCCAGGAGGAAGTGGGAGACCACGCCAGCCACGCAAGCCTCCACCAGGCAGGGCAGGCAGCACAGCCTCAGGCACACCATGCTGAGACTCCTTAACGCCTTGGCGTCCAAGCCCAGACCTGCCTGCAGTAGGATCACAACTAGGGCAACGCTCCGGAGGGCGGACGACCACTCCTTGTCGATGTCCACGGCGATATTGATACGGGGGACGTTACGGAGTAGGAAGCCAACGATAAGCATGCCTGAACAAATGTCATTGTAGAGAAATGTAAACAAACCTTGGAACATATGTATAGAATCTTTTAAACAGGCATTTTATCTGCCCTTAGTAAAGTTAGTGGTAAAACAGTACACTTTGTAATGTCAATTTCTAGAATTTCTGTAAAGACTGAAGTTTTGACCAAGGCTGGCTGCAAATATTTGATTATGAATAAAAATAATTACTTCAATATTGACCATGATATTATTTAAACAAGTGCTGACACACATGTACATGTATACATGTATATTTCTATAATCACAATTACAATGTAATTCATGTATACTGGCTGGCAACTGTTATGATTAAATGGGATGATGTATGCGCCACGGTACAAATGTAGTCAGACAAGAAAGGAAACAATTCAGGAAGCACAAAACTCAAGACATCGCCCTGCATTCTTCAGTAACCATTGGTTCCTAAAAGAGTTGTTAGAAAGACAGAAAGTACTGATGTGGGGAAGGGATAATCTGTATGATTACCAATAAGCCATTTGCGAGTTAAATTTGAATAAAATCTGGTACACTGAGTTCTTTAAATTTACGTGAACATAAAAACTTGAATTCTCCATACTAAAACGACTGTTGCTATACCTCATGATATGGGGCAAGCTTTTGCTTAGTTACATAAGAGACGCCTTGCAACAATACACTGTTCTCAATGGATACGAATGGCACAAAGGAACCAGGTCATTCCAGAGATGGTGGTCGCTATGCAAAAGTTTGCCCTGAATCACAAGGTATAGCAACAGTGTCTTTAGTCTGGGGAATTCAAATTTTTATGTTTCTGCGCAATCAGATAACACAGTGTACCAGAATTTATTCAAATTTAACTCGCAAGTGGCTTATTGGCTAGCTCTTTGCCTTACTGCTGAACCTGTGACCTACATGTACCTTCCACTCCGAACCTACCTAATAAAGGTGGAAGTCGAACAAGTTTCACCAAAAATCCTCCAAACACACAGCAGATGGTCAATACATACAACGCGAAGAAGGTCCCCCCTGGAAGTGCTTCATTCCCGGTCACACCCAACACCACACCCCAGGACAGACACATGAGCAGAACCAGCGTCAAATCCCTCGACACCCTCCCGTGGGGCGGGCAGAGGAGGGCGTATTTCAGGCGCCCGCACAGGGTGGGGTTGTCGGGTAAGGGGTTGTACTGCGTCATGCACGGCTGCAAGATGGCTTTACAAGATGAGCAGCGACCTGAACAGACCTCGCCGGAGTCTTCCGAGCCTGCGTCATCCCGATCTTCCAAGTCTAAGTCAAAAGGGGGAATCTCTGGTGGGGTCTGATCCCACCGGTGACTGTCCTGGGACATCCGAGTCTGGTATCCATCCCACTCCATGGCGGGAGACCCTGGTTTGCTGCTGTGGACCGGGCTGGTACTAGTTGGACTCTGATTAGGAGTGGCGTACATGTTGCCACGCTGAGGGATGTCATACACATTGGCTTCACCAGGAGTGGCATAGATGACTTCTTCCTTTGTGTCCTTAGGCTCTGCGTACTCATCATTCTTTGGTGCTGGAGCAGCAGCACTGCTCCGTTTGCTGGCTCTTGGTTTGGGCTGTGGTTTTAACCTCGCAGGGGATGCCATGGTGTTACTTACCTGCATGGGTGAATTAGACATGATGTATCGTGAACTTTGCATAATTCTAGTACCTAATCTTTTGAAAGAATTCCATGTACGGAATTATTAGTATTAGCAATCTGAAAGCAACATGACCTGAAAAGTTAACTTTAGCAGGGAAAATATTGAGGTATTCATGTATAAAACACCTAGAATTTTTCAGACCAGTTGCATAGGGTTTGTGCATAGGATAGCCTGGCAAGCGGAGTACATAAGCCCCTTTCCTGATCTTCAATTGTCATCAATATAGCACACACCTGTCAAATTGAAAAGACCATTGTTCTAGCGATCATAAACTTGAATTTCCAATGAAATGCACAAGGCTAACCTGTTTCTGAGAATCAGGGGATAGTCAAGTGCCTTTGGGAAGGTCATGGGGTAAATACGGTGGCCCTGGAGGGACATCGCCAATCGTCAATACTGACATCAATATTTACGACCAAACTTACAACCCGCTCTTGAAATGCAAATATTGATGCCAATAATCACGACCAAATTGACGACTTGCTCTCTAGTCGCAAATATTGCCCTCAATATACACGACTCACTCCGGTTGTGAATATTGCTGTCAATATCCATGAGTCGCGCTCTGGTTGTGAATATTGCTGTCAATATTCATAACCAAAATTCACAACTCGCTTTTCAGTAACAAATATGACAATATAACAAAAATGACTCGTTGTATCTCCAGTCGCAAATGTTGCTACAACTTTTTTTCCAGCAAACTAGGTAGAAATGAAATGTTCTACATTTTTCGTCTTGATCTGTTTTTGGCAGTCTCCTGAAGACGGACAGAGCACACTGTTCGAAACGTCGAGTTATTCCCCGGTTCTTCTCAGAACCGCACATACTCAAAGAAGAGATAAATACATGGTGTTACCGCAATCTTTACTATAGATCTTGATCTGTTTTGGCAGTTTTGGCACAACGCAGGGGGCACAACATTGAAAAGCAATTGCTATGTCTCTAGCCGAGCAACTTCTCTCGCTACCTGGCTTGCTGGAAAAAAAATGCAACAATTTTGCAACTGGAGATATGGGTCGTGAATTTGGTCGCAAATATTGGCGTGAATATTCGAGACTGAAAAGTTGTGAATTTTAGTTGCAAATATTGATGACAATCTTCGCGACCAGAGAGCGAGTTGTGAATTTTGGTCATGAATACTGACAGCAATATTCGTGACTGGAGAGTGAGTCGTGAATTTAGTCATGAATTTTGGCATCAATATTTGAGAGGGTCGTAAATTTGGTCGCAAAAACTTACGTCACGATTGATGATGTCCCTCCAGCGCCACCATAGGTAACTGCACTGTAACGAGTGATCATGTTGTGCAGGCCCCAAGTAGGCCTAAGCCCTAACAGCAAAGTCATGAAAGTCGTGAGCCTAAGCTTGATTTCCACACGTGAGAAACCGATAACAGCTTTAAAATAATGTTTAGTTATGTTTTAGAGAGTTTTAAAGAAATGCCTACCTTACATTTCACGTCCCCTATAAAGTATCTTGCAATATCGTCTCGTAAAAGGCTAGTACTAGAAGATTTATTTTTAGCCGTTCGGAGTTCCCCTCTCACCCGTCACTCTCACGTATAAAATTAATGGCTCAATGTTTGCAGCCAGACTAGACTACGACTGCACGTACGTTGGCACACGAGAACGAAAAGATGTATACAGGATACCGCACTATTTTGTTAGTCTGGGGATTTTTAAGGTTTTTTTTGGGGGGGGGGGTGGTTGGGAAATTGTCACGAAACCTTTTATTGCCTTTCTGAGAGGTGAGGTTACATACTGGAGGCTTTTCCCACGCTTTTGGAAAGAGGGGAAATGAAACTGAACAAAAATACCTTTTTCTCTTTATTAAAAAAACAATTGTTACTTTTGTTGACGCCTCTCGTGGGGGTGTCCCCCTGGAGCGTCCGCCTTTGCGCCGCCGCCAACTTGAAGGTTTTCACTAGAGCGAGTGGAGGTAGCTATCTGTTGCAGTGTGGGGCGGCACAATTCATTTTTTTTCCAGTGGGGTAACAACTATTTTTATTATACGTGGACCCCCGCCCCAGCTACGCTGCTGCCCTATAGTGACCCCCTTTTGAATTTTGAAATGCGTACGTACTTTCTATTTTCATTATGTAAAATTAATTTCTTTCCATTCCCCCCCCCGAAGTTCCAGCCTTCATCTGCCAATCATGATAATATCAATCACATTGCTATATTCTTCCACTAACAGCTCAATTAATAGGGATGCTCAATGGCTGATTCAGAACCGTTTTCGTGGGGAAGGAGACAAACTCAAGTTGTTTCCGGGGAGCCAACATTTGGAAAATTTTTTTGTAACCTTTTATGGCCTTCCTGGGGGGTTTGGCTACATGTGAAGGCATTTTACACGCTTTAGAAGGAGAGGAAAATTAAATAGACCCCACTGTGACAAATCGCCTTTTCCTCGTTTTCTTTGGATGACAAATACAGAAGTAATTATGTCCATTTTTAAGCAAAGTGGTGCAGATTACGAGTGAGATAATCAAATTGGGATAACTTGAGGGTTTTCTTGACTCCTTGGGGGAGCCTCAGTCTGGCCATGGCCCCCGTTGTGGCCCTGGATTCGTTGTTGGGAATGCTAGAAGTAGTTTGAAGGCATTGGTGCCGAAAGCCAACATTTGGTCGGAGGATATCCTGGAATCAGTTGTTTGACGGAAACAGCCCCATCAAACAAAATGATGTAATCAGATCGAAAGTAGAGACGAATGTTTTCCTTGCCAGTGTAGGCCTATGAACCGAAATGTGACTTTTTTTTGGTAATGATCGACTTGCTCAGAACCCACGGCTTTTAAGCCAAGGGGTAAATAATTAAACGGAGGAAAAAACATATTACAGTTCATCAACCGGCAGGCAGACAACTACCTGAAACACCTCCTGCATAAAGACAGAAAAATTACTTCCGAAGACAGAACAGACAGAACCCTTGGTTACTAAGACGGAATGCATCTCCGCTCAACCCTTCTTCGCCGTTCCCTGTTGCTCACTGTCAGTCGTTTTTATTTGTCCACTTCATTTTTATTCATTTCAGTTATTGTAGACCTGGTTCTTCTATCGGTCCATGCTTCTTACAAAAGTATGAAGTCTCGATCGTTCACTAAGTCTTCGGTTTGTCAAGTTTTGATAATCGGTTGCTATTAGAGATTGTCATCCGGGAACTTGACACTCCGGCTCATTTTTCCTGCTGGTAACCTGCCATATCTTTATGCACGATTACGTCAACGGGAGCCTGCGAAGTCAAAACTACGGGAAAACATTCCACACGGGCGGTATCTATGTAAATGTACATTGATATGCATGAAGTTGGGGGTCTCGATTTCGAGAGAGGAGTCATGACGGCACAGAATCTGCGCTTCGTTGCCTTTTTGGGATAAAATTAAGACAATTATTTATGATTTCTAATCATGGAAGTGTTTTTGGCATCGTAGCAACATGTGACTGGAGTGGAGAATGTGTTTGGATCGGAGAAAGAGTGTTAAAGTGGCGTGGGAAAATGACCATGACTGATGACAGTGATTGACGGCGAGACGGAATTTCCTTCGGATCCTGTAATTCACTGGTGCGGCGGAACACTTTGATGTCGGCAGCCAGTATGCTGTTACCTAGAGTCACAAAATCGCGTCCTTATACAGTATTCTGGGACAGTTAGGAGCATCTTACCGGAGCTATGGAGTACTTTGAGTACCCAGAATACGCAGACATAATGGAACTCTTTATAGAGACCCTTACCGGCACCGTTTTTGAGCTTCGGGTGTCGCCGTTCGAAACAGTGATCTCGGTTAAAGCCAAGATTCAAAGATTGGAAGGTATACAAACGAACATTTTGTATAAAGTGTTATTGGATGGAAGATTGAGCTGTTTCAGTGTTGGGGCTGCAGTGTGGTTCTCAGCATGCTCAGGGCTGGTTCATACTTGCTGCGGTTGCATACACGCAGCTCGTAATGTGAATGCCGCATTAGACGTTCATACTTTCACGTTTTCTCAAGTCTCGGCTGTATATCCAACAAAAGTTTAAAAATTTCAATTTGTCCAAATATGCATACATTTGGTGCGTGCCCACTTTCCATTATTTTTACAAACTGCGTGCAAGGGCACACATTTCTATTACGCACTGCACTTCACGCTTTGCAGACATCTCAAAATAGACCTTTGCGCTGTATACACATTGAATCCGCAGCGAGTGTGAACCGGCGTTCAGTCATCTGTTGGGTTGCAGATCCATACAAATTTGACCAGTTTGCAAATACACGTCCAGACCAAGTTTTTTTCCTCATTCAAAAGTAGTGGAAGCACCTCACCGAGCAGCAGGTAGGTCAATGGATGCATGTACATGTAGGCCTATGTTACAAGCATGTAGGCCCTCTGATGTAAGTGAAAACTGGAGATATGATGACATCTAACTATGAAGGCAAATTAGTCACAACACTAGGGCCTATAGTGGCTTTGTTAAGTTAATTTGTACTACACTTTTGTGTTTCCACTTTGCCTGTTGTGCACCAAAGTGATGAAGTGACTGTAATCATTTTGTGTGGGTTCATTTTCCACAAGCATGTCCAGAATTACTCTGTGAAGTTTATGTTCATGTCTGTGACGAAGTGTTCTAGTATCACCTGCACAGTTTCCTTGTAGTGAGCCAGCCTAGTGGACGTTGTCTACATTGCATTGTGACTAACATCCAGGGTATAAAGTTCTCCTGCCATAGAGAAATTTTTTCAATGTTTTTTTTCTCACATTTTTACCCGGTGGACTTGGCTCAAATGTCATTCAAAAGTACCTTGTATCCGAATTATGGTATGATGTTTTGAAATTACTGAATACACCTGCGGATGATGTATTTGCAGGAAATTTAGGGCAACTGGCTTTCCGTCGTGATTCATGAATGATCTGCGTTCGTCTAGTAGTATGCATTAGTGCATGTAGGAAATGCATAGCTACTGACCACCCCTTACATATGCACGGACGATTATTCATGAATCAAGGCAGAAAGCATGGAGTTGTGCTAAATTTCCTGCAAAATACGTCATCCGTGGGCGTATTTATTAATTTCCACACTGCATGTGTTATATGGAATTCGGGATACAAGGCACTTGTGAAGAACATTTGAGCTGTCTCCGCCAGCTAAAAATGTGAGGAAAAACGTTGAAAACAATTTTATTATGGCAGGAGGACTTTATACCCTGGACGTCAGTCGTACTGTAAATGAAGACAACGTCCAACCTGGGCTGGAAGTGAGCCATCTGCTAGGTTGGTCCCGTAAAGCAAAGCTAGATTGAGGATTTCTGTGTTGTGTAATTGATGTTAGGTCTCAAACAGAATGGTGATCACAAAACAGAATTTAGTGGTTGGCAGAGTCATGAAATTTGACCCTGATATTGCGGCAAGTAGGCCTGCTATCAGAGGGTGCTGTTACAGCAGCACTTAAACATTTTCCAACCATTTACCTTGCCCAAATAAAAATGGCTGAGAGTTTGCTCTTGACAATTCATTAGATCGTGGTAGATGGCGGATGAAAAGCTGAAGATGTTCAAAGTTCAGGCACTTTTGTGTCTAGTTTCACCCTCTGACACTGTGATTAAAGACTTTTGGTAGACTTATCTAACACATGACCAGAATTATGTTTCACTTCATGAGAAGTGGTGTACTACATGCAGGGATCCTTGTGGCATACAAAAACTTTGCTACAAGCAGTTCACTGAGACAAGCATGTGAGTATGTGTGACCAAATCAACAGAATGAGTTACATGTACAATTGACCAGAGCCGCTTTTGAAGAAAATGTTAATCAGTGGAAAACCTCAATAATTAGTCAACACGATTCACAACCGGATGCCATGTTGAATGTTTCATCAAAACACAGCGGTTGCACACGCTCATACGTGTACTTGCTCATGTCCAGAGTTTCTGTGGACAAATCAAAGTCTGTCAAGGGTTACAGTTTAAAATGATTAAGCGCCAGCAGCATTCTTGCACGTTGACACAGATTTTTATCCGCATTGAGCACTGAAAAGTACTTATTCCTCTCCTCATACCCAGGAATCCCCATTAGCCAGCAGCACCTTATATGGCAGTCGGTGGAACTTGAGGATGACTACTGCTTGCATGACTACGGGTATGTTTAAAACATTAATGAAAAGCTCCACTTAATGAACAATTTCCATGTGGTGTCGGGGCTGGTTGCACAAAAAGTGATGACAAACCATGGGCTTTGGTGCATCATCCACAACATAGGATGAACATAGGATGACATCAGTACGGGATGAGTGGAATTAAGAGCAATCAACTTTTTCTGTTTATCACACTGCTAGTTTACTTTGCCAACTGTTTGGCACCTAAGTCAGGGCTCGCGAAATTAAAAAAAATGTAGTTGCCCTTTGGGCAGGGCAGTCTAAAATCTGGTTGCCCGAACTTCATTTTCAGTTGCCCGACAAGGAAGTTTTAGCCACACGTTGTCTCAAAGCTTTCGGTAATTACAGCCATTTTCCTGGTTCCCGATCGCTTGAAATGAACAGGCCTAGGACTATCCACCTTTTTTGCTATTGCTCTGCAGCATTACACGCTCAGACGACTTCTTTTTTGAAAGGTAAAATAAAAGTCTTGCTGTACAGATTTTACCCCCAGAAAATTTCAAGAAAAGGAATTCTCGCTAAATTTCCAATTCACACTTCGACGTTTGTTGATGGTTTGTCAAAAATCACGGGAGCACAAAAAAATCAACACCGGAAAAAATTACAGGTCGGTAGGTCACTCACTACGCAAGATTCCATGAACGTTTTTCCTAGTTTGGGATCGCACATGCAATTTGCAAGTAGGCCCTACATGTACCAATGTCATAAACTCAAGTACACGTGCCTAACAGATTTGTACGTGATGTAATGGGTTCGTCAACTTTGTGGCGTGGGGGGATTTGTGGTCGACGGCTGGCTGAGCAGCAAAGTCAAGTCTATCCATGTTGATGCACTGATATTCTAATATATAAACAAATCCCCTCTAAAACAAGACTTGCTTTACTTGAAAATAGGCTTGTTACAATGGTTTTGGAACTTTTGGCAGAGAAATGGGTTTACACTCGACTACTTTTTATGTGTAAAGAAATTTTTGAAGCGATCCAGAACTGGCTAAACCGATCCAGAACTAGGAAAAGTGTCGTCGTCACTTTTGTCAATCTTGTAAGATAAATTAAAAGCTCAAATTTTGAAAATATACATGCATAAGGTAGACCTCTGACCCCATTTTATTGGAATTTGATAATTGAGCTGTAATATGACAGAATATAGTTTTAGCGATCCGGAACAAGGAAAACGACTGAATACAGACACGGCTGCGTTGTTCATGTCAACGATTCGACCACGGTGCACCTATCTGAACGTGTTCAGTTGTGCAACAACAATGTTAGGATGTTGATCTTTTTTTGCGGTCTTTTTTCAGTGCACGGTGCTGAAATGACCAGAACGCCGGGCAAAAAAGTGTGTTGCCGAAAACAGGTGCTTGCCTGTCGGGCTGGCAGCCTGGAACATTTTATTGCCCGATAAAATATTTTGGTTGCCCCGGGACATCGGACTACCGATTCCGCATGCCCTGCCTAAGTTCCATTATTTTGAGTGAAAGAAGAAGTTTTCTCCTTACAGTAGCTAAATGACATATCATTCCTACATTTGCCCATTGGTGCTCACTCCGCTGCGTTTACATTACAAGAACATGTACCAACACAAAGGCATGAGAGAAGTCCACACCTTAATTTTGGATACAATATCAATTACTGTGTGTCATTTGAGGGCTTGGTAGCTGCTGCAAGGTTGATCATTGACCCATAGGCTTCGCTTGCACTGCACATGTAGTCTAATCAAGGACTTGACCCCCTAGTAAGGGTTGTTCAAACAGAATCATTTGTTAAACCTTGGAGATTAACACTAGTTATTTGCAAAAGAAAAGTCCATGGTAGTGCACAAGTTTCATTGCCATTAGATGATGCTAGGATTTACAAGTTGAAGTGACATATTCAAACTGACTGGTCGTGCACTTTTGAGTGAACCTGTAATTGTTTTTTTGAGAAACGAATTTTTACTCAGTTGGGAGCTTGAAGCCTGCTCAGACATTTTTAGAGTGTTTTTTCGGCCTTTGGGGTGGGGCTTTTTTCAATGTATGACTTCTAAAAGTATTCAATTTTTTTGGCATCTGAAATCACTTTCAATTCTTGCCATGTACACGTACATGTAGGTTGAGGGAAACAGTTTTAGGAACCACACAAAAAAAGTGGACAAGTTTTTATTTTCTGTGTAAATGTACAATGAAAATGACAATAAAAAAGTTCACAAAGGCACAGATAAATAATAAAGTACAGAACATCTACATGTAATTCACAGGGATGATTTGAAGCTTGTTTGATATCTGACACCAGTGTTATATATCAAACACGTGCACACAATAGAAGGCAAACACTCAGTGTCAAATGTGTGTTAACAGCGCCAACCATGCACAATGCCAAATGTCAGGGGTCGCATCTTAATTGATCTGTGATGTATTACCTATGCAAAAGAGCCTTTGTCAGCATTAAAGCAAGAGGGCAGCCATTTATCAGGCCTACACATGCACACTGATCAGCATTGGGTAATTTGTCATTCTTTGCACATTCTTCACACATTGTGCAGCAATGTGGGTCGGTGTCATTAGCCCAATTTGTCATGTCTACCCATAATGGAAGACTTCTGGAAGTACGAATATATTCTTAATGTAAAGAGATAAAGAAGAGAAAAGAAGAGAAGAGATAAAGCTTCATAGAGTGGGAATCGGGAAGGTGTACCAAATATCTCCGCAAGATTTAATTTAGGTTAATAAGAAGTGCTGTGGTTTTGATTTGGTTAAATAAATTGTATGTTTGAACACTTTAGGAGGCTTTGCACTGATAAGACAAAGTTGCATTAATCAAGTTTGTTACCTGATACAATTTGGAGGTGTTGAATATGGAACACAATATTTCTCATTGAATGGTTATTATTTTGTGACGGGTGTGACATTTTTGTAAAAGGCAACAAGATAAAAAATGTTCTGTAATGGAAATGGAACAATATATTTTTTGGTACTACCCGGTACTTGCCCTGCTCTTTTTCATGATCCAGTTAGTTTGTCAAATTTATCAAGGGAATGAATGGTGCATTTTGTTTTTGCTGAGTGTCTGATATCAGTTTTCCTTACCCTTACCTTGCTGTGCTTCAAGTATTATACCAGGACAGTGCTGGTTTTAAAGCAGTTTCTAATAAAATTGTCTCACCCTAAAAGTTTTTCCACCCAAGTAAGATCTTATAGCAAGAACAAAGTTTGTTGATTTCATTTCCCAATAAAATCTCACAGAAATATGTCCATGCGTTACAACACGTAGTTGAACTAGGCAGTCGAGTAAGGAGGTACCGGTGTGCAATTTTCTGCAAATATGGAAATACTGTTTTACATCTCTATCCCATTAACCTGAACCCCTAGGATGTTTAATAAACTCTTGACATGAGAGAATGCAGGAATGTTAAGGGTTAATTTTTCATTTTCTGTTGCAGAATTCCTCCTAGCAGTTCTCTCAAGTTGGTGCTGGCCATGAGAGGTGGTCCCATCAACACAAGAAGGAGTAAGTATCTTGGAGAAGGTGCAATAATTTTTGACCAAACATCTTCAAGTTGCTGTTTTTATACAAATTATGAACTGTTACATTCTTCAGCATGTTTCTGTTCAAATTTATGAACGCTGTGACTTCAACTCAGCTGCTTTATTTGTTGAGTTGGATATAGAAACAGTCATAGTGTCAGTGTAGTATTAAGAACACCCTTTTCTCAACAGAAATGTTTGACCTTCATCAGGTTGCTACGCACCATACTTCTTAAACTATGTCTGTTAGTTAAAAGTCTTTGGTTTTTGTTAAGTGTTAATTGAGCATGTGAAATTTCTTGAAGTCACAAGTGTTCATTGTTTAAGACTTTGTAACAGCTTAAGAAATCATTTCTACACCTCAAAGTAAGAACAGCTTTAAAGTGAATGATCTAAGTTCCATGTGATGTTCAAGCCATTCACTGGCGCAATTCAAGGTGTTGTTGAGAAAGCATTAACTCGGGGGAATCTGCCTTGTAAAGCTGCCTTGTAAACCCAAGTGCCTTCCCTTATTCCTTCCTTCTCTTTCCGGCAAGAGATCAAGGCTGCTTGAAAGCAATCGGGTTAAACGGCAAGTAGCCAAGGAGACGTGCATTTAGTTCCTCCTTCTTTTCTTGAGGTCATGCTATTCTCATCTCATACCCTGGTCCTTCTTTTGTCACAGTTCCGATGGAGGATCCTGCCATTCGGGAGATGGCCGAATACATGGAAGCCAACAGGGACGAGATCTGGGAGAAATTACCCGGCAACCGTCAGGTCACTTTGTTGGTGTTTAGGGAAGGGGACCAGTTGAATTTCTTCAGGGTGGTGGACCGAGGTGATGGCACCCTGACTCCACTGTCAGAATCATTGAGGTAAGGACAGGGTGGGTAAGAATTGATTGAAAACCTCAAGCCTTTGAAAATGGGTTTACTTAAGCATAACATAACATTGTGAGAGAAAGTTAGCCAGATTTTGCTGTTGCTTGTGTTGTGTAATCACTAAAGTCTTCAAATATTATACCAGAGTCGTTGTGTGTAAAAGATACAGGGAAGAAATAAGATAGGGGAATATGATTTGGTCTAATTCTGGTTTGTATATCTTAATTCTTTACCAGATTTCTTTTAGTGCGGTATTTGGTGTATTCAGATACTATAAGGAAAAGATGGAAGAAATACGTGTAGCTTGCAGTAACAGCGTATGTTGTTCAAAAGCTTGAGTTGATCCAAATTAGTAGATGACGACCATTTAACCATTGACCCTTTTCAGGGCCACCTCAAGAGCTACAGGTTTCTAATGCACTGGTCAGTGGAGTCCATTCCCTTTGTTCCCCTCACCTTGGGCTCTTTGGGGGGTGTTTGGGAAAATATTGATTTACCCTTTGTTTGCTGGATCTTGGGATAAGATTAAACTCAGTGGGTAATTGATTGTTTGTAACCTAGCAATCTGGCGGACTTTGTTGTAGGTGCAAAGGCGGTGCATGACTAGGTATTTGCAAGTTGGCCAGCGTAATCGTGCTATTCCATATCAAAAGTAAAGGCAATACACTTTTGCATTGAGAAAATAATTGGACAATCTTTTGCTCAATTAAATTATATTTGCAAAGATATACTGTACTAGATTTAAAAAATACAGAGTGAAAAGGAAAGTTAATTTTTGTTTAAGTGTGATGTGCATAATATTTAGATAAGTTTTGGATGTCTTAAAGTGGGATTTTTATTAACAGTGAGGTGAAGATGCTAAACTACACTAAAAGTTAAGGACCACTTTTTTTTTCACTGGTATTTTTTCCCCAAGCAATGATTGGGCTCTAGTTCTTTCATTTTTTGTTTGTCTAGATGGTGTGCTCATTGAAATAAACGAATTAAAAAATGTTTCAAAACATCAAATGCACATTTTCAACAGTAAAATATCTCATAAACAAGTATACACAAAATAAAAAGTGGTCCTTAACTTTTTTGAACAATAATATGAACAAGAATAGAAATATGTTTAAGTACCTATTTAAACTTTCAGCATAATTTGAGTGAGATCCGGTTTGACATGTGAATTGTTTCTAATGCACTTATCTTTTAAAAAAATTGTACCAGAATATTATACATGTACATTTGATTGAATTATGTAGTAAACGTACATGTATATTTGAATATATCATATTTGAAACACTGAAGAGTTGAGGAGGCACATCAAAATGTTTACTTGAAAATTGAGGGTGTTGGTGGAGTTTCCCGTTGTTTTTGGTGGATAACTTTAACAAATGACACCTAGACAACAGCATTTATGTTTATGAGAGCAGAGACCAGTTCTGAAGGTGTGGGATCATCTATAGAGGGCTTGCATGGCAGCCATCATGCAGGCCAAAGCTTTTGTTCCACAGGATATGCACGAAGGAAGTTTTCCGGTGCAACAAAAGAACTGCCCCGCAAGATGATTACATGTACCATGCAAAGCCTCTGCAATAACGCCTCTGCAAATGAAACCTGCACTTGGAAGTCTGTTCACAAAATGACAACGTTATCCAGAGATCTTGTTTGTCGAGTTGTGGATGGCGCTGATGTAATTACAGTTGTGGAGAATATTATCCTGTAACATGGTTTAAATGTTCATCACTGTTTTGTACTGTTTCAGCGGTGCTTCAATGTACAATAACATGTTTGATGAAGAGGAGGAAGAAAGATTGCCCACTCAGGAACAATCCGTTGAAAATGATGTTACTATGAGTAAAATGAAACTCCTCCGTGCAAAGATGGAGACGTTATCAATCGGGAAAAAGGTCAGTCACTGTGTCTTTTCTGCCTGCAATTTTTTCTCGCAGTCGCTTTGTACATGTATATTGTGCTCACACACTTGGCAGTTTGTACAACTTTTCCGGCTAAGAAGTGATACCTGATGTAATGGAAAAGGTCATCGGTTGAGTCACTGTATGTGAGCGATGTTCTTGAAGGGAGTGTCGGTTCTCACTGAACTTGTGGTATGTTCTTTCAAGAGCTAATGCGTCTTAGACAGATTATGCGTGTGCTTTTTCTGCAGTCCCCCACCCCCCGCCTTAGCAGTGTGCTGACCTGTTTATCTCAACACAAATCACTTCACAAGGTTTGTCGTGATATCAGTATGTTTGTGTTGGATGCTTGTAAAATTGTCGTAATCCGTGAAATTTTTCTCCTCACAGAAGCATAAAACACCGCATCCACCGACCACTGCTCGACCAAAGAGCACAGCAGTTAGAAGGCGGCTGCCTGTTTCCAAGAAGAAATCACCTCCTCTTCTCAATAAGAATAATCCCCTTCCTCCTGTGGGCACACGGAGCGGAGAGATTCGTCATTCCGTAGATGCCAGTGTTAAATTAGACTCTCCTAAAGGGAGCATGGACTGCAGTTCCGTGGGAGGGTCAGCCAGCCGGGTGGAGAGGCGCCTTGGCACCGCGGATAAGCGTCGTAGCCCGGCCCCGCCAGCCTCTTGCCGTGCTCTGGAGTCGCTGACCAGCGCCCGCCTGCACCGGTCCTACACCAACCTAGGCAATATGTTACCCCCCTCCACAGCCACCGTCATGCCGGAGATGCGTCCCAACACCTCTTCCAAGGTTCAACAGGTACTGACGTCCTCCGCTGATGCCCGGGGCAGAGAGCGGAGCGGCATCAAGGCCGAAGCCCGTCTGGTCACGGAGCTCGTTAACCAGGCTAACAGGGACGGCAAAATCAATGATATAGTTTGTGGTGCTCCCAGGGACTTGCATACGGCCAAGGGCAGCGGAAGGACCAGAGCTGCCTCGGGGGCATTAGCCCTCAGCCAGGCCTTGAACACAACATCATCAGCACTGAAAAGTACCACCAATGGGGACCGAATTCGGACTCCAGATGGAAGGACAGCTCTAATTGTAAGCACATGCCACAGTAAAACAAAATATACTATTTTCTGCCCAAGATCATTTAAACTTGAAATCATCAGTGCAGTTTTTCTCATCTTTTTGTTGACATTTAATAGGACAGATGCTTACACTCTCATGAAAGCTGCACGCACAGCCCAGAATGACAAAGTTGCTTTAACCCTACAAAGGCCGGAGAAAGGAAAATCTCCCCCCCCCCCGTCTTCTTATTTCCCGTTTCTGTTGCTGTGCATTTTCTTCACTAGACTGCCCTCAGGAGTTTTTCGTAGTCTCTTTGCGGTCATTTTTACACCAGTTTTGTGAAAATCGAGCATACCGCTCTCACGCAGCACCCATTTTTCTATGAAGACAGGTCAGTAAAAAAAAAATACACTTTTCTGCTGGCATGTCCAATGCATGCAGGTTGGTTCTCCTGTGGCCCTGAACTTCAAATGATCAACCGTGTGTCTGATCAAGTTGAAACTTCGCATTTAAACCAGTAAGGAGCGTCTTTGCACGCCTGCCAAGTTTTTGAAAAATCGGTCCTGGGACAGTTGAGTTTTTAGGGGTTGGAATCCCCTCCTCCAGTTGTGAGATGGTCCAGAAATAATCTGGCTCTTCTAGGGCTAAGCTACAAGTGAAAATATTTTGTTAGCCAGAGCATGATGGTGAAATCTTCATATCAGACTCAAAGGAAATGAATCATGACGTTTGGACACCTATTGATGAAAGGCAAAGCTCCGACAGTAATCAACTGGGCATAGAAAATTTCTCATTGTCACCTTTACAGCCATAGCAAAGATCCTCGCCATGCTGCATTTGAATGGCATTTTGTGGAGCACTTGTACTTATTAATTTTCTGTGTTTTGTTTTTCTACAGTCTGCGCATAGTATACGGGGTAGAATATCGGGAACACGGGACGGAAGGCTTTGTAAGTATGGTATATAGACATTTCGAAGAAGGGTTCATATTATACGCACTTGGTTTGGTAACCAAGCCCGACAAAAATATTGAGATTCATTTTAATTCAGTTTTACTCAAAATGCTTTATCAACATGTCCGACAGTTCACTGTATAAAAACGTAGCAAGCATGAAACAATGGCAAGAACACTTTTGTAGACATAAATCTTGGTTGAAAAGAAATGAAAAATACTATCTACCTCTCGAATTGAAATATGAAGAGCCTTTTTCTGGTGATTTGATAGTATACGTTACAAAAACTTAGAATATTAGAATAGATGTACCTGCGTATTGAAATAATCAAATGCTGTGCTTGAAAGAGATGTGTTGTATTTACTAGTATTAGAAGCCAAAAGTTATCATTCATGTGAATTGATTGATTGATTGATTGATTGATTGATTGATTGATTGTTATTTCTGTGTTCCCTCAGTATCACCGAGTCACCGGCTTCCACCTGTCAGTAGCAGTAAGCCAACCTCTCTTGCAACTACGAAGAAAAAGACGAGTAAAAGGTGCTCTTTTTGCAACAAGAAAACTGGTCTGGCCACCAGTTACCAATGCAGGTACATTTTAGAATTTAAACGTTTCATTCTCTGTGTTGTGTTATATAAATCCCTAAAAGAAACAATTTTATTATTTTTTTTACCGTACACCAGTGATATTCAGCCAAATTTCAGGAGCAGGGAAAAGGCAGCATGTATGTGTGCTTGCCGTCAGTGTGGTGTGTGTAGTGTTGGTTGGGCGGTACTTCACCTGGGCGACTGTTCGCTGACCTGTTCCCGAGGAACAGTTCTGTATGTTAGTATGTTTACCACGTGCGCGGATCCTCTCATGTGCTTCTGGTGAATTAATAGCAAAAATAGTGACCGGCACATGATAATGAAAAACCAGTGAGAGTTCAGCTCTCGATCGTGAAAATGTGTGAGGTGTGGTAATGCTGGCTATTTACCACTTCGCTGATGAGATCAACACCTGGCAAGAAACTTTTTGAGTGTGACACTGTCACACAGCTAGCCCTCAGTAAAGAAACATCAATCCACCGTAAGGAATGCTTATAACATTGTTCATTTGAGACACCTGCCGTGAAAATCCCAAGCAGTGCCTCTCAGGAATACTCCCTTCAGATTGGCTTGTGTAGCTGCATGTTAACATCACTAGATGACTCGCCTAACGGCAAAACCCTACCCTCAGGAGCTCATCCTACCATCTCCTAACGTCATGGCAGTTCAGTTTCGTTGTCCCTTGATGCTGCTTACATTTGCCAAGGTTAAACGTAGTCACCTGTTTTGATTTTGTTGAATAGAGCAGCAGAAAATGGTATTCACGTTAATCCTCCTTTGGTTTTACAGCACAAATGTACACAAATGCCCACAGTCACTGGTGAGCATGTATTTTCTATATGGAACTCAAACATGCACAGTTTCAGTGTGCACGCAGTAGGTTGTCAGCACAAAATGACCCAGGGTCTTTTGTGCAGTCCTGTTCACTGCATTTGGTTTACTGCACATTTATGCACATGAAACAGTGAAGCACAATTGTTGGGCAGCACAAAAGTGCAATCTGATATTCCTGTGAGGGACTGTTGGTGCAGTGCACAACACAACACAGCTGTGCTTCCTGAGGTGTTTACCAAATGACCCAAAGAGTGACTTCAGCATAGGAGGGATAGTGATAATAACAGAATGCATAAACATAGACAGCAAATTCCACCTAGAAGAGCTGTTTACGGGTAATGAGTAACCGTCCTTGAGAGGGTGATAAGTCATTGTGGAAATATTCACAGGCAAGTGTATTTAACAGATGTGTACGAGTCCCTTACATTGAGACTGTAAGGTCATTTTTCCCCTGTAATTTTTTTAATTAGTGTGCATTAACGAGAGCCAGCTGAGCTCTTTTTTGCGATGCATTGCTCGGGTTGGCACCCAGATGCAAATGGTATCACGTGACTGAAACCCGGCGAGGGTTCCCGTGGAGATTCTTGAAAAGGCCCGTGAACTCATGAGTGGCACTGGTGACTCGTGAGTGATATCTTTCAGGTTGGGTCACAAGTTGCAGTAAAGATTTTCCTACCAGTGACACTTATAGATGTACATAATAGAGTGTTCAGCTCATTCAGTGATTTGTAATTGATTGCAGATGTGGACACAACTTCTGTGCAACCCACCGCTATGCCGAGGCACACCACTGTGGCTACGACTATAAAACTGAAGGACGTAAGATGCTGGAGCAGAGTAACCCACTAGTCAGTGCTCCCAAGCTGCCGAAAATTTAAGGCATTAATTGTTCAATGTTTTTAATGCATACATTTCAACATTGCATACATTTCAACATTGCATATATAGCAGAAATAATGCTGGATGACCTATCACTGCAGTAGAGATAGTGTGTGAAACACTGAGATGTGCAAGCAGGGGGAATGCTAGTGTTGGGAGTGGTGCATCTGTACAGCGTTCATGTGCACTGAAGTCCAGCTGCTTTATGAAGAAGCTCCCTAATTCAAAGTCACATTTAAGTGACTCCTACGGTATTACTCCCAAAGTGATTTGGGAAAAAGGTCATCCTTAGATGTGTCGTTCACATTCTCGTTTCCGAAGGTTTAGTTGATGGTGCAAAGCTGTGGCTTGGGAAGAAGTGACGGATTTTTGTTCCACAAATTGATTAGCAAGAACATACACGCCATGGCCCGCCGACCGAATTCCAAACTGTCTCCAAGGAGCAGTGGACCTTTTTCATGCCGTGAACTTTTACCAGAATGTGCGTGCATGTTGGAATGTCCTTGTGGGGAATGTGCTGTGAGGAAGGTGGGTGTGTGAGAACCTTTGAGTGGAGTTGCAGCGACTTTCTGGTTCCCACAATAACTGTCATTTAACACGTGTGCGCCCTGCAGCTTTGTGGAACAAGTACGTGCATGTGTGAGATGTTAGTCGAGAAAGGCAGGTACCGAAGAGAGCAGCAGGACACATACCTGGACTTCAGCCGCTGATGAAGTTTCTCCCATAAAACAGTCGGGCAAGGCACTAAAATGTCACCAACACGGGAAAGATGTTCTTGATAATCACAGTACTAATACTTGACACCATGGGGGAAAAATAATTCAAATGTGAGCCTGGGCAAACCTTCAGAAAACTCCAGCTGAATATTTAGGTAGTGTTACCAGAGAATGAGACGGTCGAATGTTGAGCGTTTGCCATCTGAATGCTGCACAGTGTCTCTGCCTCAGTTGATACGGTCGATTCTTAAATTCTTGAAATACTGTACATTGCATTTGTACAGATACAAGTCTATATCAGTACCATATCTTAGCCATGGTTAAGTTTGTATTTTATTGGTTTCCAGTTCTTTATGGCTCGTTACAGCAAATTTTGTCTTAAATCTGGATTGTGATTTTAGAGCAATACATCAGCTATTCCTGGTGATTATTATTTTTTTCTTCTAAATTATAGTCTTCATGTGCTCAAAATGTGTGAGTCTTTTAGCGTTGCATTCAGAATCATGCGGCAAAATTCTAGGCGAGTGGTTTGCATTGAAAGGAAAAACACAGACGATCATTATTTATTGATTTTTTTGTTTCAACAGTTCTGTAGAGAAATTCCATGTGTATGTACATTTGAAAAGTGAACATAAAGGTCAACACGAAGTGTGTTTCAAGGCTAATAATCTAGTGAAGAAAAATATTGTGAAGTTGCCTTTGAATGAATCTTGTATTAAATCGGTGACTTTAATAAGTTGGTTGCATTGGCTAGAGCAAAAAGCCACAAATGCGGTTCTTTCTGGTTGAATCAGTCACTCTTATTTCAGCAATTTTGGAAATACCCTGTGCTCTGAATTGTCAATAAGTATGTGAGAGGCAGAAACGAAAGTTTATGAGTGTAAAAGGGGGGGCGGGGTGAATCTTGGCACCACTTTGTGCGGGCCGTTTAGAAACGGTTTCAGATTGTGCGAATTGAACGTTTAAAGTGCTGGCTATCTATGTATGAAAAGCTCAACATTATATCATGTCCATTTGGAGATTCAGTTTCCCATCAAAGGCCCTTGTCATGACAAATGCCTGGTTCTGTTTGGTGCAGAAATTGCATATTGGTACTTTGTTTTTCCAGTGACAAGTGTCAGAAGTATTTTTCTGAATGCAAATAGCTTGTCAGTTTATTTCATGTTATTCAGCAATCTTAGAATTTTTTATGAAGTTGTGTTGTTTTACTCCATTAAACATATACGAGTACATGTACATGTATACTTGTATCACAGAATTTACATTTTACAAGTAGAGGTGCGCCGTCACAAAAATTGATCTTGATTTTTCTCCTTAAATATGAAAACGAGGAAAAATTGTTCCTTTTAAAACAAATTTTGAACTATTTCAATTTTAAATTGAATAAAAGCAAAGCCTTTTTACTTGAGCATTGTGTTCACTTTGTCAATCGTGACCACTTCTCTACACAAGGGTGTTCTCATTCATTTGGATTGCCTGCTGATGACAGCATTTAATTGGTATTTCATCCATCTCAGAAAGGATGCTGCAGAATGTAAAAACATCCTAGTGAGCATCAGGCTGTGATTTACGTCAATTTCTGAGATACACGGGCAGCAATTATATTGAATTTGTAAATCCTACCCGTTCCTCGGGTTTTTAAATGTTAGCGAAGCTTGGGGATTTGGGGTTGTCAGGGTTGACAAAAATTATTGACTCGAAATTAAGCCCTGGGTGTTGGGATCGGCCAGCCCGCAAACTTCGGCTGCTGAGACCTGCTTATCATGGAGCAGTGTTTTCTGCTTCGCTTGTGGACGTCTGCCAGAGCCGTGCTTGTCATCACTGTGGTACTGCTATGTCGCCCTCTCTCGTGAAGCTGTGTCCATTATACTAAAACGTTGCCAGGCCTAACTTGTGTCATCGAGCACAGCACGTAAAAGACAAGGAGCGCGCCCAAACTTTGCAGAAAAAACTTGTGCCAGTAAAGGCTCACATGTAAAGATTTTTACTGTGTCACTTAAAGTAACAACGATATAAAGGACTGTTCCTGTGATAGATATCCAGCCATATATCATAAATCGATGTGGAATGAGGCCCCAACTGGGAGGGTAGGACGGGTGGGCAAGGCGGGCGATAAGTGAAACTTGAAGCTTTGCCGTTTGCCATATTCCAAATTACATGTAAATACAAAGTGTAGTCTCCGTCTTGTCTTAGTTTGACTCTCGAGCTATATAATTAACCTTCAAGATGTTTGCAGTTTGTAACAGTAAGGGACCAAATTCACACAAAGTGAAGGCCAAACCAATCGAAACAAGGAAACGACCGTCACCGTGCCGGTGGGGCCACAAGTCAAGATTTTTTTCAGTCAGTCAAAACCCCTCCTTATTTAATTTCTATTTGTTTTTCCGCAGCTTTCGGACTTTTCCCGGTCCCCCAAGAAACTTTTCAAATTGAAACGTCAAATGTTAATATACGTTGCTTGTTGGTTTGTTAGACAAAGTATTTCTCTTACACTTGCGAAGCATTACAAACTCTGTGACCTTCTCTAGCCTCCAGTCTTTGGTCAAGTGGGGATCCAGACCCAAACTTTCGGGGGGAGGAGCAATTTTTTGAGGGGGGTGTTTGTGGAAATATTTTCCTGTAAGCTTTTATGGTCTTTCTGAGGGGTGAGGCTACAGTTTGGGCTTTTGGCACACTTTTGGTATGAAGTGAAATTCGCCTCTTTTCATTTTTGAAAACATAAACATTGCCCCCGGTAATTTTTATATGACCTCGCCTAGGAATTAAAATGCCCAACAGATCACTCGAAGCAGTTTAAATTTGTTTGAAGTCGAACACTTTGGACTGGGAACACTTATTTTGGCGTGTTTTTCACCCAAACCCGCGACGCTATTTTGTGTGATTTCGCAATGCCGCACACTAGCTTTTATTGCACATCATCAGCCGTAGCCAGCCAAGTAATAACTTAGACTGGGTAAGGCCTTCCGAAGTTTGCATTCTATGGCTATGGCTCTGGTGTTTTTGCTTTTAGTGCGCCGTGTGATGTGAATAGCCGTAGCCGTACACAACAATATTTTGTCAGCCATTTCGTTGGAACTGAATGTGAAAACAATGACATCATCATCATCATCATCAAAAAACGTACGTCATGCATGGTGGTCGTGTTCCCGCTTATACTAGTCATACATATCCCACGTACGTTGTGTGTCTGCTGCTCATTTGAGTGACATTCGTGATCTGCGATCACAGTTAGAAGCTTACTTGCACTCTTGATACACATTTACTAAGGGTTGGATTGTTTTACGCTGTAGGCCTAGTAGGTGAGTATTTTCCATCTTATTTTTAATTCGCCTTAGTCATGTTAGTTAGACCATGGAGGTTCCTTCCTCCATGGCCCTAGGCGTAGGGCCTACCTATTTTCTCACTTGTCTTGGTTTCGCATATTTCATATCGAGATGGGAATCCTAGACCGAGTAGGCCTAATTTGGATCCCATTTTGACATGGTCGGGTGCCTACTTTCGCCCGACTATGTCCAAATGTTAGACATGTTAGAAAAGGGCGATTCGTAGGGACCAGGGTTCAAATTACTTTGACCACTGATGCCGACTTCGTAGAGTTTTACTTTAGGCTGGTCCGAATCATGAAAATTACGCATGAGTCTCTGCTGGGTGGCTGCGGCCATTTCCCATAAAGTCATGTGTAAATTCCAGCTGTAGCCAAGTGATTCGGACATGGCCGTAGCCTCGTCTGAGGGCCTGACCTGCTACATGTATGAGTACAAAGACTGGCAGTGGCAATGGGGTAGCGTGGATGATCCGGGAGTTTTGCAAAATGGCAGGTAGCAACCGATGAAAACAACCACAATGAACGCATGCGTACGCACTGATCAAAGAAATGATTGTGTAATCGATCCTCTGACTGGCTGGTGCCATGCATACGTCACCATAGTTGCTGTTTTCATCGGTTACTACCAGCCATTTTGCGAGAGTCCTGGATGTCTGCACTGCTTCATAAGATTCATCTAAATAATTATAGCATATAATTATAGGGACAGTTACATCACTTCTCTCAAATCATGGATGGATTTTAATACCCTAGTCTGCCTAGAGCAACAAGGAAAATCAGTCAATTAGTCATGCTCAATAAGATTTTGAATAGCATTGTTGATGTACATGTACGAGGAGAGGCTTTTGTCACTACAAACATATGATCATCTTGGGGACACAAGCAGAAATTAAACCAACTATATGCCAAGACGAGTGCCTTTAGCACGGACAATAATCAAGGATTGGAATAGTCTCCCATCTAGTATTGTTGAATTTGCAGAAACATCACATGCAACTTTAGAGCTGAACTTTTTAAATTGTTTTGTGCTTGAAAATAAGCTACCGAAGGTGAATGCTGGTCAACTCGTACACATGCCAACTCGTGCACCGACCATCTCCTACGCCGACCAACTTGTACGCTAACCAACTCGTACGCCGTGTAGTTGCATGCGTAGTTTAGTTCATACAAGCCCGATCATGTGCTAGGAATTAGTTTGGCTTTCTGCAAATGTACAAAAAACAGAAGTTTCTTTGATGCACAAGATATATGAAGCGAGAGTTTCAGAGAAAAATTTTACATGTAGTTTTCTTTCCAAGCGACCTGGACCCCCAAAAAACTGAACAGGGATATTAATTTTTTTTGTAAATCTTTTTCTTGAGATTTTTGGGTGGTAAATACAATTTATTTATTTTTGGGGGGGAGGAGTGTGGCTCTGAGAAGAGCCTTTATTTCTGTACTGCTGCAAGAAAGTATCTCTTTTGAAAATGTGTGGCCCTGAAGAGAGCTGTTGGGGTTTGTGTTCTTGGGTTCTTCAAACGGCTGGACCGTACAGATGGCTTGAAGCAGAGAGAAGCCCTGATGCCTTGAGGTCACCGCTCATGTAACTCACCCATAGCTAAATTACACGCCCCTGCATCTGCCTGGCACTCCTCCGCTGGTTGTGGCACATCTTGGATTCTCTGACGAGAACCACCTGGATGCTAACTACCTCTGCATGTAGAAGGGGGATGATCTGGTATAGGTGCAATCCAGATCTTCCGGTCTTGACATTCAGTCTCCGGTGCCACCCTTCAACAACGCTGTTGGTCAGATGCTATGGTTGAAGATCGACCAGTGCTTCGGTGGCCAAAAGCTGCTGTCGATCCAGGAATCTTGGACGTACTCGAACAGCTGGCTAAGGAGGGGGTCTGGTGACTTTGTTCTTGAGCTTGATGAAGGAGGTCTGGACATGTTCATGTGGTAGGAATGGAAGAGCCATCAGTTTCCAGATGACATGTTGCACAGCAGGATCTGATGTGTAGGGGAGTGCTAAGCCAAGGCACTGACACGTTCTCCAGATTGCTTGGGTCTAGTGGTAAAAGCACCCTGGAATGTGACGATCAGGGAAAATAGCTCGAAGTGCCGACAACAGTCCGGACTCGAGACAGTCCGGACTGGTCAGTGTACAAGTTTGTTGATGTGTGAGTTGGTCAGTGTACGAGTTGGCTTGCGTACAAGTTGGCTTGTGTATGAGTTGGCATGCGTACGAGTTGACCAATCCACGTACGAGTTCGTCGGTGTACGAGTTGGCATGCATACAAGTTGACGTGTTCCCCCAAAGACACTTCTAACTCCACGCCCCGAACTATATGTACCGGTATGCCTCAAGTTGGTGTGATGTTTCCTGATGGAGGCTTTGCCGACTATGATTCAGATTCAGACAAATCGCTGCTTTTAATTGGTTGGCAATCATGGCATAATTTTCACGCGGTCAACCATAGTCATGGTTATGATGGTAGACCTAGCTAGTGGCTTTTCCTGCCTCCGTGCTATAACGTCTGTGGCCGTAAGTCTGATCGGTTTCTCAGCAAGTGGCAAAGTAAGGGGCCTGGCGACTGTACGATCATGGACATTAATGATATTGCCAGTCACTGACTAGGCTCCATATCGGTCATGTTATTTAGCGTCAACAAGTGTCAACATATACAAGTAGAATCAACAACGCGTCAGCAACTTGAAAATACCTTCTTCTACAGATTTGAAAGTGGTTTTTATCATATTTTAGAGACTCTAACACCTGCGACTGTGTAAGAGAAACACTGAATTTTGGAGTATAGTACCATTTACACATACCTGTAGTCAAAGTTAATTGAATTGGACGGAATTTGACTTTTTAGAGGTGGTTATTAGGCCAGGTTCAGGTTAATTCAAATGAGTTTCGTGTTTATCAAAATAGGGTTTTTCTTGTAAAAGCACAATGCACATGTACATACATGTAGGTCCCAATACCGCGGTATCTTTCTTACCAAGGAATTTCTTTGTCAACTCAAATAAATTAATATTAAATTTTTTACTGAATGTTCAAATTAGTAAATAGCTACACATAGTTGAATGTTTGGTTAATAATTGCATATTTGATATTTATTCAGAGCAGCCCTAAAGTTTGGGATAGGGAAGGGAAGATTGTGGAAAGATTACAAAAAGTGAAGGCCATAAATTAATGGACAGTGATAGATTAAATCCATCCCATGTTGAGCGAAATTCTTGCTTGTGGAACTCCTCCAGAAGAAATTTTAGACAAGAGTTGAAAAAAAAAGTAGAATTGTATAATACATGTATCAGGCGTGATCTGATCGCTGTACCGTCATTTTTAATGACTTCGTAACTTCTTTCAAAGTCTTCAGTCAAATTCCAAGCGATTTCCTGTTTGTAATCAGTTGTTTTCCAGTTAAAAGTTTCATATTCCCATGAACCTTGCTTTATCTTTCGGTGTTCCAACTTGAAATGGATTCTGCCGTTGTGACTCATAAAATACCAGTGACGTAGCGTTTATCTTTCTCTTTATTGTTTATCTTTTCTCTGCACAGGCACACTTTTGTTATGTGTACAAAATTACAATGTACTTATCTGAACATTTTTCTTTGCCCTACACAAGCCAGATGGTGTACTGTTCTACTGTACATGGCAGAAATTACACCCAATTGTATCATTTAGAGTGTGAGTGCCAACGTGTTCAGCAGTGTGTAAAAGCTTGTAGGGAAATTGAACTTACATGTACATGTATTTTATGAATTTCCTGTATCAATAGTTTAGTGAACAAATGGTTGAACATGTACTGTAGCTAAATTTTGGATTTTTTTTTCCTTTTTTCTTTTTTTTTTATGCCATGCCCAACGTGTATATCTTGACACTGAATACTCAGTGTATGCCCCCGAAGGCTTGTGAAAAAATCACAAATGCACTCAGGTGGGTTTTTTTTACCATCTCCCCGGCGCAAATCCATCTTTGAAATATACTGTAGCTTTTCCCGCACAGGCTAAATATATGTACATGTACATGAAGTTTTAGTGTGTCAAATAAAAATCCACACTACCCCTGTCCATGTAGATTTATATATATTCATTCTTCAGTCAAAAACCTCTTGGAGCTTGAAATTTCACAAAATGCCCTCAAGTCTTTCTTTTATAGAACTACAGAACTTTCCCTTGAATGGAGCGTGACCCGCACCTATTTGCTGAAAATGGCACGAAAGACTCGCCATCAAGTTTAACGGCCTCTTTGTAATGCACACGTAGTGACATAGACACGGAAACAATTATGCTGGTAAATTTTCTGGTACCATTGAATTTTTGTGAATCTTTTGGAACAGTCCAACGAAGAGTGTGGAGTGTGCATGTCGGCAGACCAAATTCGTTACATGACATACATGTGTACATGTACATCACACGCAGGTACATGTACATGAACGTCACAAAAGCCTGGTAAAATGACCTCTAATCAAACAAAGCATGCATCACCACATGACATGAACGCCTTGAGCTCTTAACCAGGCTAGGTTTGAAGTGTGCCGTTTCCAGTATTTACTTTGGAATGGCTCAATGTCCCAAGGATTATGGAAGGATGTTTTCCAACAAACAAGGGCAGGGCTTTGTGTGTGTCAAGGGGAAAAATTGTCTGGTCCTGATGATATTGCATTTGACATGCAACTGAATATCAGATCTTTGTGGGAGTTCCTTTGAGAGAGGGGTCATTTGATAACCCTGTTGAGGTTGTTCCTCACACACACACGTTGGCCTACTTCATTGTGTTCAGAGGAAGGACCATTGAAATATAACTGGTCAAATTTTGATTCAACACGAAAGGTAGGGAAATGTATGAACTAAAATGTACAGTGTACATGTAGGTTACTTGTCTGTATTGTGCTTGGTTTTCCATGTACATGTATGCGTGCAGTGTCAATTTACATGTGCAACAGGTGCTTGATATACTCATTTAAATCTGAAATGAAAGTAGGGATTTATTGTATTGTGCGCACGCGTGGCACATACAATGCCTTCGGTCGGCCTAGGAGTGGTGGCGGCATTAGTCATACTGCATTGCATTGTTGTGCAGTGCCCATTACACTATGCCTACATGTACGTGCAAATATGATGTATGCACGTACAGTACATGTATGGTGCGTTCACATGATTGAGCAGTGTACCAGTACATGCGTTTATGGGGTTAAGCAGTCAGTACCGAGTGCCGCTTGTGGTATGTGACCGGTTCAGATCATAGTTTGCTTTCATCGGTTCAGGCTTTATGATCATCATTTTGGAAAGAGGAATTTTGGTTAAATGAGTTTAAACCAACAGCTAAAGGCAATAAATTAAAACCAATTCATTAGCGAAGCTGAGTTACATGTACAGTGTAGCTCAGTGGCTATTAACATGCCCACTCGCATACACTCTACGTCAATAAGAGAAAGCTTACAATCTAACCAAGCTCTTCAAGTCTTTTACGGGGAGTTACCTACTAACGGTAAATTTGAGCATGTTGCCTATTCTCTGGTGCATTTAAGTGTTGTAAAACCTCATTTTAAACAGTGCCATTGCCATGGAAAGTGACACATGATAGAGAACAGTTTAATCAATATAAACAAAATAGCCTTATCCTTACCCAGGTTTTTGAGAGTTGTCTCTAAAATTGGCTCTAAAGAGCATTGCTCCTCTGGATTTCCTGATTGACCAGAAATATCTTCCTGTATACACTCACTCAATCTTTTCATTTACGGTAATATGGCAAATGTATTGTAAACACCGTACATACATGTAAATGTACGTACTCATTTCCAATTGGTTTGTTTAGATGGATGAACATAGGGAAAGACAGTAATGCATACAGTACATGTACATACAAAATGTACATGTACATGTATGTAAAAACCCCTTTGTTATTCTTACATGTATGTTTGCCTCTTTGACAGCTGTTGTTGAACATGTACATGTATGTATATTTACATGTACCAGTAAGTTCCATTGTAAACATTTACTTGCATTATTATCTGGTTAGGTTTGTGCCTCAAAGTGGTTAGCCTGCCACATTGATTGGATTACAGTACATGTACCTATGTGTAACTTGTAGGTTTTAGAATTATTGGCATACTGGCATGCAAGCGTGCATGTTGATCACCTTGTGCAACATTGACAGCCACTAATGGGAATCATTGCCATGGAATGGAACAGAATGATGGTTACAACTTTGATTAGAAAAAAATAGTATACAAGTTTACATGAATGCGTTGAGTGTACTGGTGGGATGACCTGGGCATCTAGGTACCGGGAGATGAGTTGATGTACAGCAAAGTGCTGAGGTTGAGGTCCATACGTGTATACCTGTGTGGAATAAATCATACATTTGTTGGATTTGAGCAGGTGCCCTGTTGTAGTGATGGGAAAGATTTTCCTCCGTTTCCACAAGCTTGCAAGCCATTTCTACCGGGGTACAAGCTTGCTACCAGTTGACACACGAATGCTGGTCTTTGTTTGCCCGAGAAAGAATTTAGCCCGTGCATGTGATTGAGATGCACCTGTTTGGCAAAGTTCTGTTCATCCATGGAGGGTACTCTCAGATCTATGATGTCTGGCCCTGTCATTCTCTCATCTAGTATGTGAAATGTCTGTGTAAAATGTCCAAGCAGTGTCGCATAATTAATAAGTGCCACCTGTGGTTTGCTTTTAAAAACAATTTACTTCTTCACTTAGCCAGGGTGAAGGCCCATTAGTTATAATCTGTTCTTCCTGTGGGCCCCCTGGGGAAGAAGACAGTGAAGAAATGTTCAATGTCAGAGGGCGGAGGAAAGCCCAGACAAATTTCCCACAGATTAAGGCAGGGACCAAGAGCCTAACCCCCATGTCGGGCAGGGCAGGATTCGTACCCTGGGCCGCAGAGGTGGAAGGCAAGCTAAGTACATGTACCAGTACCACTGTGCCAAACTGACCCCCCCCCCATGCTCTGTCGTTCTTCCCGACAGATTCTGTCTGCACACTGGACTCGGCACCTTAGCAGTCTGTCTTCTCTGAGCATAATTACCTACAAACCGCTTTCACAGAAGGTAGCGTGTGAAGTGGGATCGTGGTTGTTTCCTCACCGGCCAAGTCCACAACTAGAGAGATGTTGGGACAAGTGAGGTTACCCTTGGCAGCATGTGTGTGCTTGCTGTTAATATCAGGTAGGTCTTACATGCAGTCACAGGGTTTTGGTGGACCCACATGAAAGTTTGAAGTTCTTGAATAAACTTTTCTGATGAAGTGTTTGGTCTTCACATATACATGTAGGCTAGTTGGGTGCTTAAAGAAAGCATGAAATAGAAATATTTTTATAAATGTTATTTAAAAGCCTTGAAATTGCATCATTGGGTTTTAATTAACCTTATTTTGAACTTTTGAAATGTTACCCCATATTTTGGAACTTTAGTGGTTTTTATGGTAATGCATATTTGCATATTCATGAGCAGAACTATGATGTCATCCAAGGCAGTGAATCTCAATGTTGCACCGGTTTGTGCAAAGAAAATGTTTAGATTTTTTGAAGCACTGCGATGGTAGATTTCATTTTCTTTAGCAGTTTATTGCTTTGTAAGTATATGGCAATAAGCCTGCAAGCATCCTTTTCAAATGTCACTAGATGACAAATTTGGAGTTCACAATTTGAACATGAAAACATGCAACCTGAACCATGTCTTCCTGGATTTACATCAAAGCAAAAGCGCCCTCACTTGTCCAGAGATTCTTGGTCAATTTTAAATGTTTAAAAAAGTGCACCTTTCAATTCACGTAACTCAAGATGTCAAACAGTCTTCATACATGGAAGAAGATTACAGAGATACGCAAAAAGCAATTCTTAGAAATCGATCCTTTTGAAAAAAGGATCGCCCAGTTGAAAAAAATACAACTGCCTGTCTCGTCTTTACCAGTTAAGTGGTACAATTCAGAGTGGATGAGAGTAGAATCACAGTTTGTATCTTGTGGTATTTTCCCCTGTTTATGATGTCTGTGACAGGCATACTTGCCTGAGATAGGCTCCAGAATAAACCCAACTTTTACCACACGATTCGTTATAAACTCCTCAGATGTTTTTACTGAATCCCACATATATAACATATGCCACTGGTGCACCAATTTCAGCAATGCCACCACTGTCGGAGACTACACCACCACCATCTGCACCCACACCATCACCAACTGGAGGACCAACATCGTCGTTAACAGGGGCACCAACACCGTCGGCGTCTCCAAAACCAGCACTGTCAGCATCTGCAGCACCGACATCATCGGCAGGAGGAACTCCGACATCTTCAGCCTCTCAAGCACCAACACCGTCAGAATCTGCAGCACCAAATCCTTCGGCATCTCCACCACCACCACCACAAAGTGCAGCACCAACACCGTCGGCAACAGGGGCACCAACACCACCGGCCTCCCCAACACCAAAACCGTCATCTCCGGCACCATCACCATCACAAAGTGCAGCACCAGCACCATCGCCAACAGGTGCACCAACTCCATCAGCCTCCCCAACACCAAAACCATCAGCATCTCCGTCACCGTCAGCATCTGTAGCACCAACACCGTCAGCAACAGGGGCACCAACACCACCAGCCTCCCCAACACCAAAACCATCAGCATCAGGGGCACCAACCCCGTCGCAACATCAGCAACAGGGGCACCAACACCACCAGCCTCCCCAACACCAAAACCGTCAGCATCTCCAGCACCGTCACCTTCAGCATCAGGGGCACCAACCCCATCGCAAAGTGCAGCACCAACACCGTCAGCATCAGGGGCACCAACACCACCAGCCTCCCAAACACCAAAACCGTCAGCATCTCCAGCACCGTCACCTTCAGCATCTGTAGCACCAACACCATCGGCATCAGGGGCACCAACACCACCAGCCTCCCCAACACCAAAACCGTCAGCATCTCCAGCACCGTCACCTTCAGCATCTGTAGCACCAACACCATCGGCATCAGGGGCACCAACACCACCAGCCTCCCCAACACCAAAACCGTCACGATCTCCGGCACCATCGCCAACACCAGGACCATCCTCCAAACCAACTACATTACCCACATCCCCCCCAGGCACCACTGCTGGCCCAAACAAGAATCCTGCAGATAAGGGATCAGGGTCAACAGGTGCCATTGTTGCTGTGGTGGTGTGCGTTGTCATCTTGTTGGCACTAGTAGCAGTTTTCTTCGTCTACAGGCGGTAAGTGTGCAGCCTAGTTGCCCAGTGACAGTATTTTTGCACATGACAAAGCAACCAAGTATTGGGCCCTTTCAGGCACTAGAAATGTGCAAACTAACTCATCCAAAACCAAAGCTGCCATGATGTCAGGGGTTTTCATTTTAGTCTTCAATGATCTTGCCTTGTTGAAGTACCAAATGTAGGAATTTCAGGGTAGCGCACCTCCAAGGGTTTGCAACACATTGGCCAATCGCAGTCCGCGAAATAGGTCGACCCAATGCGCGTTTAGAAAGGGTCGACAGATTTCACTCATCGTGATTGGCCAACGCGTTGCAAACTCTTGGAGGCGCGCTATTGTGAATCACCCATATTAGCTTATTGAAATGAGCATTTTGAATATTCAGAGAAGGGTCATGGTGTCTTTTTCCGTACCTTGCTTGAATTTACACCAAAAAAATTAGTTACATTTTAGCAATTCAGATTCTCATTTTGAATGTGCAAAAACCTTTAGCACCCTGTTTCAGATTTCAAAACCAATTGATAACACTGATTATTGTTCTTTGTTGCATGTTTAAAAAAGGCAGCATTCATTGAAAATTATTCTAATTTTCATGGAATTACAATACACGTAATCTCTGAGAATGTGTCATAAATATGCGGTCTCTTTTTCACAGACGGAAGCTCAGAAACAGTTACGGTCGTCTGAATGAAGATACGGAAGAGAGCGGTTGGTCGGCATTCTCTAAGAATCCTATCTACAGAGGTGACAGGGTAAGGCATCACTTTATCCATCAGACCAGACAAGAAATTAGTTGCTTTTCCAGGGACCCAGCCCCACCCAGAAAATTATGGAGAACCAGTGCAGTTGTATTTTAAAAATTAATAAGGGAATAGAAATTTGATGCGTGATTGATAACTGGCATGTTAAACCTTAAAAGTCGCAGGGGGACTTGTAGGAGTTTTTGGTAAGTCTTTGCAGTCATTTTGACACCAATTATGAGATATTTGAATAAGCCGTTCTTGCACAGTTCTGAGACTGGTTTACTTTTCCACTGCTGTGCTCAATGCATACCTGGCTGGCAGACATGTGGCCTTGAAATGACCGTAACAACAACACCAAGTGTCAGATTGAGTTGAAACTTTATATTTATAAAATATTTTCAAGCCTTGGAAAGTCAACTTCTTGGGGAGGATAGCAGAATCCATTCCCTTCCCAGCTTTGAGATGGTCCAAAATTACCGAACTCTTTTAGGGTTAATTCGTATTGAAACTGGAACGGGGTCTGGTGATCATAATAGACTGAAAATGGCTTGCTCTTATTTTTTTTTGTCCGTACAACTTTTCACTTTCTAAATCGCAGGATTTTAACCACTCAACTAGAGAGAGAGTGCTGATATGTTGTATTAACATGTAGAGTAATCAAATCTTCAAAACAAGTCGATCATCAGTCCACCTTCAAATCTTTTGCTCACGAAAGAGCTACACTGGCCACCTTACGTTTTTGTTTTTCAGTCTACCGGTAATTGGAAACCGCTGTTTTTTTGCTCTCCCAAACCTTCTGAAAATATCATGGTATGGTGCTCATACTTTCTCCACTTTGAAGTCTCTTTTGACATTCAATGTATTTGACTCGTAATCTCTCTTCCCTTGTTCTTGAAATCAACAGGACTACTCGCCACTCTGAAAATCATCAGCATGGAGAGGCAACTTGACTGGTCAGGAGTATTTGGAATGAAGTCAGGATTTCCAAGGATTGGATATTGGGGTTGGCTGTACAGCGTTTTCTCATATGATTATGTACTTGTGCGGGGAGAATGGAGGGTCAAGTCCTCACTCTGCTTTTGTTTTGTAAAGGAGTAAGCTGTGCCTTTTCGAGAGACCCAAGATGAAAATGTGAAACCGGAAAAAGGTATTGCGTAATTTGAAGAGTTTTTAACGGGTGTTCGTGGCTTTATTGAGCTGCCTCTATTTTGCATCTTGCTTTTACAGCATTATTCCATGCGTCACAGCATTTCTCTGATTTCCAACAGCTCGTGCAAACCAACTCTTTGATGGGCACAAGATTTTTCCTGCTTTTGTTTTCACGGCTTTTGGGGGCATTCACCACTCTCAAATTTCAAAACTCCAGGTTCCAATGTGTAGTTCATGTTGTATATCATTTGGTAAATGTGTCTCAATGCGGACATGAAATATCATGCGATACACGAGCACTGAATGTTAGGTGTGAAATCTTTGGTCGTCAAAAGTCTGCAAAGGTGTGGGTGTGCCCCTCGTAACTCCACATACACAATGTTCTGCTGCATACTTTCTTACTCTTCCCTTGTATATAGCAATTTGACGTGAGACAATTTTGTATCTCTCTCTCGAACTTGTATTTTTTTGTATTTTCATTTGCGATTGGCTCGGGCAACATGGGGATTATTGGTATAAAAGTTGAAAGTGAAGTTTATGTGAAATTTAGTTGTGCAAGGAAATCAGGGAGACGTCGGCAGTTCTGACCAGTTGCCTGAGTTGGCTTGTAACTGCTAAATTGTCTTGCGTAACAGATTGGATGGAAAAGGTGAACATGTGTTGAAAGCTGAAATTTAGCCTGAGCTCTCCTTGCTTTTCTGAAGCCATGAACACCTACTAGGAAATTGTTCATGACCTCAAAAGCCCTAACCTTTGGCAGCCGTCTTATACAGTGTTGTGGAACTACACGTTTCTGTGAGGTTGTGCATGAATTCACAGAAACTTTCTGAAGACCAAAAAAAAAATGAGTACCTCTGCACTCTTAATTTTAGTTGAGTACACTTCCTTATGTGTGAGTAGGAAAAAGTACTCAGTGAGAATGTTATACAAAACAACCGTGATTCTCCAACCGTGGATGAACAAAAAGGCTTAATGCATTGTTGCCCCCCAAAGAACCCAAGCGCTGCCCTCCAAGATGGCAGCCGAGTTTCAGGTGTGTATTTGACCTCTCAGCCTTCACTGAAGGATGTGAAATGTCACCAAGTGTCAGGTTTTGCTCAAGCGGGTCAGACCATTTGGTTTGCTGGCTAATTAAAAACCCGCAAAGCAAGTTCATTTCCTTGTCTCAGTATTGCACGTGCACACTTACAAATGTATTCAGCAGCACGATACTTGAAATTAAGTTATTTTTGTCATTTGACCTTTTCGTCAGTCCGCTTTTGATTGCAGGAATCATTTCCTTTCAGCTGAAGTGATGTTGAAATCACAACCTGTCAGATTTTCAACAGCGGGTGACTGCTCACGTACGAGGCTGCACAGTATTAATGCAATAGATAGTAGGGTTTGACTTAGTTAAATACAGTTTTAAAACCTAAATCGAGGAAAAATAGTTCGTAAAATTTTGTCATTAGTTGTCTCAGTTACACTTTTACTGGCCAAGTGTCTTAAAGGCTTTTGCCTGATTATTTGTGTGGCAGTTGTACCAAATTACAGTTTCCCAGAGGACATGGATAGCCGTCCTGTTGGCAGGTACCCACTTTGAGTAAGAAAACGTTGCTGTGTCCTAGGAAATCACATACATCCCCATTTAGGACCATGTACATCAGTGCTTTGCCTAGCAGAGGGAAGTGTTTAATCTGGAGGCTCTAGCCCAGAGTTGGATATCTTTTCAAACGGTCAACGTCGGGAAATGTAGCTATTGTCAATAGACCTATAGCACACTGACGTCAAGCTTTGTTGACGTGTGCTTTCCTGAGGCAGTGGAGGCAGGACGAGATCTATCGAGCCCCTTCAGGAAAGCGCATACATAAACAGAAGCCTGGCATCAGTATGTTTTGGGTCTATTCCCATAACTAATCTTGGGAGGTAACATTAACCTGATGTGCGCATATCTTATGGCAAGTTAGAAGACCTGATGACCTGCACGCAAGCATGATACCACTGAAGAAATGGCTTTCAGTTTCTGTCGCTGGATAAGTGCACTGTGTGTAATTCATCTTCGGACATTTCCTAGAAATCAGGATGGGAGAGAGCATTGTAATGCCTATTATGATTGTTTTCATCCACTGGAAACAAAATAACAAGTAGTCAATAGACTGCTCCAGTAAGCCCCGCCCACTGTGTACCCGGGCACTTAACACATGCTCTTCTCCAGTGCCACACTACATGTTGCAACCGCACGCATCATACGCGCGTGCATGCATGTCAGACTTTCCTGCGTGCACGTCGGAAATAGATTGCGACTGTGATTGGGCAGAACACTGTGAGCGGGGCTTTATGGATCGGTCTATTCAATAATTGATAGCTAGCTGATGGGGTTTGTTAAGTTTGTTGCAGAGCGAAATGCGTTTACCCTCTGGACCAGCAAGTTTGAAATGCCACATTTGCGTTAACTTATTTCATAGATTTATTTCACAATCTGGGTTGAGAGGTTTTTCCTTTTCATGTTTGTTGTGTGTGGAACATTCCCTGTGTTTGTTCGGGATAGAAGGGTGTAATTGTCACATTAACCATGTGAACATTTTGTAGGGTATGAAATGCATCTGAGACTTTCATTGATCAACCTTTTACAACAAGGAAGGTGAAGGTGGAAGTACATATTTAAATGTAATTTTGAGTGCTGTAACACAGACACCTTAGAGTGTATTTTTGTAGATAGACTACCATGTTTGGACTGATTGGCAAAATCGGTTTTCTTGTGCTGTCAATAGCTTTGTTTTAACTGGTGGAAATATTGGGAGTAGCAGTGTTTTATGGAATGCATTAAGAGAACAACATATTTTTTGGCTTCGAAGGAGCTGATTTTTCAGTCTTGAAATATCCTACTGTGAAAAAAACTGAAGAACTGAACCTTTTTTTTTCTAAGAATGAGAATTTTATAGCAATAGAATCCAGATGTAAGATGTACAGTGATATATGTCATTCCAAATTTGTTAGCAAGCGAATTTGTGTCGGTAATTGTTTTTCAGGGACAGAGCCAAATTGAGAGGTCTGTGAAGGAACTTTGTGAGTTAGTATCTAGGTCCAAGGCCCTGAGAAAGTTTCCTGGTTCAAGTGTTGTGCTTTGGAACAGTTTAAAAGCAATTGTGAACACTTGGCTGTCTGCACGTGCAGCCCCTTGGTGCACGGTGTCAGCTGAGTGTGGAGAAAAGTCTGGTGTAACATTTGGCTCTGCCAACTTGTAATGTTTATATAGTGTATAAAAGTAGCCTGCCTTGCATAAGAGTTGAATGTAGTCACTAAGCATTGACCAAGGCTCTCTACTCTCTCCTGTGCGGTTGTATACGGCTGACTGACGGGCAGGCACACGAAGGGCCTGCATGTCGGTCTGGTCACTCAATCTGCCTTGAGTCCTGCATCTCCTCATCGGTTGGAGAGAGCCATGCTGGTGGGGAGTGTTCATTCTGTTGGTAGCGAAGCGCACGCAACACATGCATCTCGTAATTGTTTGTGAACCAGAAAAGCGCAGTTCCCACCAAAGGAGCCTCCGCTGCAAGGAAAGTCACATCCTGTCTTGGTCCAGCTCGCAACCCATTAGACCTTTCAATCAGGAGACAGCTTGGGCTAGGGGAAAATGTATATGGCAGGTACTGTGGCTAGAGCTGCACGAGTTATTTGTTGTGCATGCATCAAGGCAAGGTTGACGTCTGCCATGGCCGCTCGCTTAAGTGGACAGCCTTGGTCAAGGTTAATAGTCATCACTGGAGAGCATGCATTCCTATCGTGTTGTACAAACAACTGAAGCCTCTGTGATTTGATTTCCTGGGGGGCCTCCAAAGATGGCCCCAGGTGACCTCCAGTCCTCAGTTTCAACACACTATCCATTTGGTATAATAGAGACCAGTGGTAGTCTCTCTACAGGTGTCTTTGATTCCTTGATGCCAGGCCCATTGACCATCATGTTACATTTTGGGCACCAGAGCGTTCTGGTGTCTTTGATTTCTTGATGCCAGGTCCATTGACCGTCATGTTTCTTGGGCACCAGACTGTTCTGGTGGATTTCCTTTATAACAAAGCACAGAGATTGATGTTGCATCCAAATCTGTTGTCTGGGGCTAGGTTTTAGTCCGGTCGCTGGGTATATGTAGGGACACACTGACAATGGATGTAGCTGGAGCTCTGGGAGCCTGTTTCAAACAGGGCTTTAGATGTCTGCAGAGTGATATGCAAGACGTGTAGTAGCAGCATTTAGTATTAGGTGCCATTCGCTGCTGTTTTTGTGCACATCCACTGTAATTTAATGTACATGTAGCTCAGCTCGTGCCTGTGTGGTGCTCAATGGTGTTGTGACTGTAGTCTGTACATGGCGTAACTTTTTTAAAATAAGTAATGATGTAAGAAGTAAAGTTGACTGGTGTATTTTGGTATATTATTCAGTTGAATGGAATTTAAAAATTGAAGGAATGTTGTTAAGATTTATGAATACATGCATATGGGTCATTCCACGAAGTTCGGGCACAGTTTATGATGGCGTCCCTTGTTACATCAGTGAAAATAAACATCTTTTTGCCCTGCATGTGGATTCTAAATTGACATTGTTCTAAATCTTGTCAAGTTCTTGTAGGGGTGTGCTTCATCTTTGCTGAATAATAATGACTTAATCTGTTGTAATGTGAAAATAAAGGGCAATCAAAGTTACCGATGGAACAAGGGACGCCCTCACAAACTGTGCCCGAACTTCATGGAATGACCCATATATATATTTTGTTGTATACAAAATCCATTGCTGGCTTGTTGCATGAGTGAATTTCCAACTTCATGTTTTGAGTTTGTCCACAGAAAGTAACTAAGTTACACATTTCCTGATTTTTTGTTTTCATTTCTATTTGTTGAGAGTTCATTGTACTCTCATAACTTACTCCCATTGTATTCTTTAAAATGTGTCATTTTAAGATGTTGGAAGCAACATATCACACTCATGGTAACATTTATTTAGTTAAGGTAATTTTTTTCTCTGAATTGAAAGATTAAATTTCTTTACATTTTTTCTAGCCCTAAAGTGCAAAATGTAATTATAATGTATGTATGCCAAATTTAATAAATGTAAATTTCTCAGAAATTCTTAATAATTGTCTATTTTAATGCGAAATTTAGCTAATAATGACCCCAAAATGTTTGACTTCATGGATGTATGGATTGTCATTAGAAACATGGAACTCCTATTTTTTGTTTGTAGAAATATGTTAGTGGTATTCAGAGAAGGTCTTTGTTTAATGCGAAATATGCTCACAGCTGAATGTTCCTGAAGAAATTAGAACATAACCCCAGAGTGAGGAAAATGGTCTTGCTTTTCAATATTAAACAGAGAATTAAAAACAAACAAAAACCTATTTGACAGCTCTTTGTGGTTTGGTTTGTTGTCTTTGTATGTAATCTACTCCGTGCACACATCTGGTTTTAATCCCGTAAAATAAAACTCAAAGCAAGTCTGTCTCGCCCTGTATTCATAATTATCATCGGCAGCAGTGCGCCACGTTGCAGTTTGAACGTCGCATTTTCTTTAAGCATCCTTCTGGAGTAAAGTTCAGAAATTGTTTGTTCGATTGAGGACAATATTTTTAGATCTTTGAAGTTGGTAGAGCCTGAACCATTAAGAAATATACTGGAATGGTATTTTTCAATCGCTCGGGATGTTTATGAAGATGACTGTGACGTGGCCTTGAATGAATGTTCAAATTCTGAAGAAATTTGAGAGTCGCGTTAATTGAAATGAAATCTACCTTTGGCCTCATCCTGGAATGAAATTTTGAACACCCCCGCCGGCAAATAAGTTTATCCAGAAGTTATCAGAGTCATCACAACAGCGCAAACTCTAAAGATAATGAGTCTGAACTGAAAAAAAAACACGCTACAAAAGTATCGACCATAAAACAAGATTACGCTCGTCAGAGTTACGTTAGATGGAAGTTAGAACCTCATGGATTCGAAAAGGTGAGTACCACATTTCTTTGAGGTATTATTGGATTTTGCATTATTTTGTTGCTAACACGCATTCTAAATATTTTAACAAGATTTCCATGCAGTGACGAAACTAGAAACGGAGCGTGTCCCGTGTAGTGCTGGTCCCCCAAAGACGTCCCACCTTTGGAAATTTAATTCATGAAGTTCCCCCCGTTTGAATTCAATGTTATATACATATGTGCGCACACTTTCAAAAAATTGCCCCGACAGACTCAAGTTACGTCGTGTATTCAAAGAAGAAATAACTAAGATAAACAAGATACTATAAGCTGGCATTCCAAGGTTAGAACACTCTCGGTAAAATGCACTGACCTCATCGGAAAACTCGAGATTTAATTGCTCCTATTTACTAATATTGTTAGCAGTGCAACGATTCTCTCTACCCGAAGTGAAGGACGGCATATTGTAGACATCTAGATTAATTCATTTCTTTGTGCATTACTTCACTATACTCGATTGTTTATGTGAGGGTGTCATAAACAATTTACTTCCACCTTCCAGCTCCAACTATGGTACAGTTCCATCAGTGGTTAAAAACCCATGTCATTGACAAACATGACTAGATGGACACAGCTAAACTGTTCGGCGCACAAATGTTATTTCTGTTCACGGCTCTTACATCATGTCATTGGGCCAGTGTGGCATTTTGCCATCATTGTGTTCGACGAGCGTGTTACTCCAATCAGTTTCACGTAGCTTTAGGCGCAAAGCCAACCAAGGCATCATCAGTCGCCTTGCCAGGGCGACGAACGACTTCGTCGCCCTCTTCGTCGCCCTCCAACGGCCTGGTACGGTCCAAGAGCAGCTTTTGGAAAATACATTCTGTCTTTGGGGAAGCTCTTGAGCAACCGTGACGCCGAACGGTTCGACGGTCGTAAAACCATTGAACTTGGATACCGGCCAACATGATATCGTCAGCCTATATTTTCAGGGTGTGATGATGTGAAATCCAAGAACTGACTCCACTAGGCTAGAACCAATCAAAAGGTGAAATTGTACTTTGGAATGTTCAGTTTGTAGCGCGCAATTGTAGTGGGCAGGCGTATCACCCCCGTAACTGAAGTGAAAGGCACCGTGAGTACTTTTTTCTGAAGAAAAAAATATGTTGTGATTGTTTCTGTTATTGACACTTTGATTATATGTGTTTTCCTTGAAGGCTTGAGACTAAAGAAGATAATGAATTCGTACTTCTACAAACACGTTTCTTGAAGAAATAAAGTAGAGGTCTTTTTTTTTCTTGACTTAAGCTATTTTAACAAACAACACGATGTGCTTGGATTTTTAGCCCAAGGGAAGTGTAAGTGGCCGATCGTGCGTTGGCATAATTATTTCATCAGAGAACCCGGTGACCGCGGCGGAAGTTCACTCGACTATATATTGAGAAAAACTTTTTTTTTTTAATTTTTTTTTTTTAGTTGAACAGATTTCTTCTGAAGAAACACAACAGACCTGAGACCCGGCCATGAAGCTTTTCTACTTGCTGGTGATCGTTGGGGTAGTAGTTCGCGGACAAGAGGTAAGATATTTTTTAAAAGTTTACTTGGGCCTGTAGCAGCGGCTGTTGTGAACTCTCGTCATACGTTGCCTGTTTTAGGTTTGGATAAACATTCAGGAAAAAAGTTTCCAGCGCGGAAGCCCACTCACAGGTACAGGTACAGGTGGGTAATTTTGTAGGTACAGCTTCGGTTTCGCTGCAGGTGCGGTATGAGCAAAATGTGGTGGCGTCCTTACAGCGAGGCATGCATGCCGCGGGCGAACTTGATCGCGAGTCTCGAGATCATAGAGCTCTATGGTCTGATGATGGTCGAGGAAAGTGACCCTGCTGACTCCAGCCATCGATCGCAAGCTTACCCAACAAGTGTTTTTGATGTAGGCCTGAAGGATTTAAATGCCTACTTCAAACCAAAAAAACAGTGAATGACAGTGTCAATTATGCACCATTCGCACACTAGTGCGTCACCGTATGGTCGTGAATGCCACATTTCAAAAGCAATAATTAAATTTAAATTAAAAATTGGCCTATTTATGTTCATCGTCATTTCTGATGTCTCATGCATTGCTAGGTTATGTGGGTCTTACATCAATGTTGTCTTGTTTTGTCTTCCCTTCAACAGATAGGTGAACCGGGAGGAACAGGTAGGATTAGGAAACGGTGGTTGCATGCTTTGTCTTCACTATATTTAGGCCTAGATCGATTACATGATAAAGGTGAACAGGGAGAAACAGGTAGGATATGGTTGTTTGTAGCTCTACTACTAAGTGGAGTGTTAGTATTCCTCTTTTTTGCATCCAAAATCGAAAAGGAGGAATACCAATGCTCCACTTAGTAGCTAGAGCTAGGTTGTTTGATGTTCAAATGTCAAACTGGAAATTTGTACTTTTAAATTAAGTTTAAAAGTTTCAAAATTGCCTTTGGAGTTCTAGGAATTCTTTCATTATTACACCGTGGAAGGATTGAAGAGTCATTCTGTTACTGGGAAGGTAGTTGATATGTGGAATCCTTACCAATTTGGCATTTGAAAACAATATGTGGCCTAGCTAGTAGTAGCGGGATCCAGAAAGTAAGGATGGTTGAATAATTGAAGGAAAGTAGGCCTGTCAACTTTTCATGTGTATTTAAAATGATATTATCTTACCTTTGAAAGTAAATTCTTTTTGGCATGATCTTGTATCATGTATTTAAGGGGCTAAATAATGGAGCCCGTATTCTGAGTAACAAGGGCTCATTAGTTCACCTCTTTTAACATTTTGACATAGTTGGGGCATCCCCTGGGAAAAAAATTTAAAAATTATAAAAATGAGAAGAAAAACGAAAGAAATTTTAAAAAGTAGAGATGAAAGGGATGATCATCAATTTGCTTGGAAATACTCAAAATTGACCCCTTCCCACTGTTAATTGGTTACATTTGTTGGCTGGTGAGTGCTTTTGGGCCCCTTGGAATTCTCCCACCCCTGGTCTGCGTAAGTTAATATTTTGGGGGGCCTGTAAAAATATGCTTCTTTAGCATCTGTGTGTTGGTAAAAATAAAAGATTGGAACTGAACTGAACTTTGAAAAGTGCCTTTGGTCATATGACAATCATTTATCTTCTCCTTCAGGTCCTGTGCCACCTTGCCAGGCGGAGATCGATGTGGCCAGTCCTGGCGATGTCTTGCCAGAGTGTGACGAGTCTGGATTCCATGCCCCAAAGCAATGCAACGCTGACAGAAGCCTCTGTTGGTGCGTGACGCGCTGCGGCGATCCCATCATGGATACCAAGGGGGGGCCGGACATCATCTGCGGTAGGTTCCCCCAGCCCTCGTTTGGGCCTTTACCCCTCAAGTTGCAAAAAGTGGGGGGCACTAACCCTGTGGCACCCCCACTTCTGCTGCCAGTGGTCCACAATTTGCAGTAAAAGTCAAAAGCAAGGTTGTGAGGCTTTTAAATCTAAGCTGTTTTGAATCACAAAAAAGTTTCTAAAATTGCCTACCACCATAGCTAAAACTTTGTATCAGGCTTGAGTCACATTTTCATAGCAAATCAAAGCCACCTGAAATTATTTTTGAGGATTTTTTTAGCACATCTTTATAGTAAATGCCAAATGGGGTGGTCTTGAGAGTAGAATAGACGGAAGATTTAAGTAGCTTGGATGACACCAGGAGGTGAACATTACTTGGATGTTTCAGAGGAGAGAAACTAGAATCCTTCTCTAATCAATTTGTTTAAACTGATATCGAGTAAATGTGAAAATGATTTTCCCATTGTGTGGTTCAGTATTGCAGTCAGTTGGTGAATGGAAATTAAAATCCCGCATCATTCAGTTTCATTGTTCAAACTAATGTTGATGAAATGTGAGCATCCATTTCCCATAATAGTTTGTTAGTGTGGTCTTTTGATGAAACCCAGTCATTTTGTTTCTTGGAATTTGAGGTAATAGTGACCAAAGAAACTTCTCGTTGTGGGTTTATGACTGCCGTCAATCAATAATTCTTTTGGCTAGTTCAAGCAGGATATTTTTTTTGCACAGAGTACTGGGTGGGGGGTGGTAAATTGACCAGAACTTACCCAAAACTACTTCCCTGCCTCCCCCGTGTTTTTTTTTCAATGACTCAATAACAGACATTTTCAGTTCAAGAAAGTTTTTCCCTGAAATATTTTTGGGAAATATTCATAACTGTGTAAAAAGGAAGTTGAGAATTGTTGAGAGTTGAGAGTCTCAAGTTTTCTCCTTTTTTCCCCCCGTCCTTCAGAGCAAGATGACCCTCCCTGCATTCAGGAATTGGAGAGTTCCTCTGGTGGTCGTATGCGACTTGGGAAATTCAAGCCACGCTGCCATGAGAGTGGCTTCTACCACCACACTCAGTGCAAGGGGTCGGTGTGCTGGTGCACGGATCGCTGTGGCAACCGCATGGAATCATCCTCGTACAGCATTGGGAGAAGTGGAGTTTGTGGTAAGTGTACACATTTGTAATCTGCTCTGAGCGGGAACAAAAGAGGGTGTGCTTTATGTGGTAAAAAGGAAGTTGAGAATTGAGTCTCAAGTTTTCTCCTAAAATCCAAGTTTTCTACTACAACCACTGTTGCTATACCTCATGATTCTGGGCAAGCTTTTCCTTAGTTACATAAGAGATGCCTTGCAACAATACTCTGTTCTCAATGGATAAGAAGGGCACTAAGGAACCAGTCCATTCCAGAGATGGTGGTCGCTATGCAAAAGCTTGCCCCAAATCACGATGCATAGCAACAGGGTCTTTAGTCTGAGGAATTCAAATCGTCATGCTCATGTGCAATCAGATAACTCAGTGTACCAGATTTTATTCAAATTTAACTCGCAAATGGCTTATTGTTGACTATTTTCTCAGCAGTCAAATTTGGGTTTGAGCATTAATGGCAGTCTGACAGGCAAAAAACAAAATGGTCCCAATTCAAAAATTCCAGCTATCTCAATGAAGCCTTTATCAAAATTGTCATATACAATGTACACCAGTCATAATCCGTAAAAGTTGGTTCGGATCACCGACAGAACAGAGTGTGCTCTATGTACATTCTTCATGGTGCAACAGGACACCTCTCATTTTACCAAACAAAAAACCCAAGTTGTTGAGATTTGACTGTGATTTCCGTCTAGAGTTTGTGGTTATTATTGCAATTCGGCTTTCGTTACCGAGTGATTTTTCTGTTGAGGGCCGTAATCTGATGTAATATTAGTGAAATGTTTTATAACCTGTTAAATAAATCCATGTTACCCATAAATGAAGACTAAGTTTGTCTTTAAGAGTTTTAAAAAAGAAAAATCATTACAGTGGTAAGTTTTAAGCTAGTCAACAGTTGCAGACACGTTGTATGTGCACAACCAAAATTTTCAAAGGAGGACTTTACCTCTTTGAAAGCTGGTCAAAGTTTAAAAGGCTTTGGCCCCAGAAAAAACTCCTTTGTATGCAAATTTACAAGTACATGTACAGGCATCTTGTAAACAAGTTTGTCCTTGGAATTTGGGTCGAAGTGTCCAATGTCATCAGTGGGCTGATAGCTTTGTCATCTCCAACTCAGTGCCGGGCGGGTGGTAAACAAATTGCCCATAATGTCAGGGTGTATGAGTCTCTTGGGGGCGATATCCTCCTGGAGAATTCCCTGTAGCCTAATTTCTCTGGAGAGAGTTTCAAAGGCTCCGAACAGGCCCTGAACCTTACTTCTGACCTTAAATGTGAATAAAACAACCAAAAAACAAAAACAACAGGTGCAGATCAGTTTGAAGTATTATCTATATACTGTAAATATAATAAACTGATTCAGTCGCACGATCAGCCGTAAACATTTTGTATTCTCGTGGGGTATTACCTTTATTCTCGTGTACCAAAGAATTAGTGTGAGCAGCGCAGTTTTCAGATTGCTGCCATTGGAACCAGACTCTTTCCTGGGTTGATGTTTCGCCCAAATGTCCCTTATTCAAAATACTTTATTTTGCGACAAATAAGTGCACCGGGAATTCCTCCTTTTGGAGTAAATTCCAACAAACTGTTTCTTGAAATTCTTGTGGGGTACTATTTAAGTAGCCCACAAGCATGACAAGGGCAATGTACATGTGTATATTCCTCGTAGGGCACTTCCTTTTGTTCGGGCATCCCACAAGGTACCATAAATTATACGCACTCCATCTTACCAGTTTTGGGAGTGCCATGTAGGTCATCGTTTAGTTGTCAATGCATATTCATATTTGTAAAGTGTACATATTTATGATCACTGGACCACTGAAGCCACATTATTAATACCATTCATCATTTGACTCAAACATTCAGAAAATCAGCTCCCTTAGGAGTACGTTGCTCATTGCTGCGATTTCAGGTGTGAAAAGCTGAATATATTCACAATAAGTTTTTCTGCCTTCACAGGCTCCAATTATATAATCGTGTGTGGAGTACGTGAGACAAGTAGAGTTAATATGACTTGTGTGCTGGATGTGTGAATATGTGTGCACCTGCTGGATTCAAACCCCAACCTTGTGATCTTGGCAGCCAAAATGCAAACTACTTTGTTAAAGTAACTGAAATACTGGTCAACTGCATGGACTTATGTACATAAAAAATGCGTCTTCAGCCCTGATTGACCGGTTGGTGATTTGGTGGAGAAGTTTCAATGCCTCTGTTAACCCTAACCGCCAAGAATATTGTTTGGCTTACACTACACAGTACTACAAAATACTAAGTAACAGTCTGAGCCTGAAGGACCTAGCGCTACAGATTACTACTTCTGGCTAGGTTACTTCCATTGTAACGTTACTTGTACAGAGAACAATAAAGCCATGCATTCATAGTGCCACAGCACTGTATGGTACACTGTCTTCTCTATTGTATCTTATGGCTTCACAGAACAATAAAGTCATGCCCTCTTACAAGCGACAGCGCTCAGTACTACATTTTACTACAAGTAGTAATTTGTAGTATAATGTAGGGTTAGGGTTAATGCCAAATTATGAGGTTTTTACACAAGTCCAGTTGTGCAGTTTCATAATTCATATTACTAGATGAGTCCACCGGGATGAATCACGGAGGAAGGTTGAGATCTACACCTATTTACTGTCACAAAACCACATACTGTATGTATCACTGAGTTGTTATCCTGTATGTGACTGACCACATTATACATGTACATGTAATTTTGGTTTTTCAACACAGATTGTGACGATGGTGACTATGCCTGGAAATGTACGACCAACCCCTGCGACCTCGAGACCACTGCCTGCCCTGCCCACCCCGATGCTGTGTGCAAGCCCTCTGCCTGCGGCGCCTGTGTTGCCAAATTTTATGTCGGCGAGAAGGAGGTGGATTGTGCCTTGCCAGAACCCAGTGTCTTAGGTGCGTATACTTGAGAAACAGACAGCTTGCATTTACAAAGCGAAGTGCCCCAAAATGGAGGTGAACTTGAACATACAAGCGGGGCATATTTTTCAACTTGATTTTTGTCTTTGAACATTGTAAATGTGCAAAGGTGAGATTAGAAAATAAATGTTAGACTTCAGACACTCCCAGTTGTGTAAAATTCTCGGCCGAGTACTTTCCGAGTACTTTTGTCCTAAAAAGTTAATTTTAATCAAACAGTGATGGTCTGAAGTCATTATGTTGCTTTGTAATCTTACCTTTATGCATGTGCCATCACATGCCGATGTACTTCAGCTTTGTTCCCTCCTAACTAGTTAAATATTTGGTAGAGAACTTGGTTCTCAAAAAGTACTTGACTACATCACTAACCTTGGGTTTGCACACATAGCCGGGGTGCCCGAAATCGGACAAAAGAGCTGGGCCTTATAACAAAAGAGCGTGCTCGGAACAAAAGACCAGGCTGCTGGGAATCGCCAACATTTTTTCAGATGTCAATAGTGGAGAAAATCTGTTATTGTTTTGAAAGATTATAACACTATTTGTGGCATTTAGCGCGAGCGAATTACCACCGGGGACAAAAGCACTCCAGCACTCCACTGATGAACGATACAAAACCGATGCATGCTTATCTGAAAAGATGCCAGCAGTTCGCTGTGCCAGTTTCGGGAACAAAAGAAAATTACATAACACCACACAATCTGGGCACTTTTTACAAGGGTGCAGGACTGGCTGACATACTCGGGCATCAATAGATGTTGCCTGTCAGATTAGAGTAGCCACCAGACAGTCACACGATGGGGTTTAGGCATTCAGGAAAAAAGATATGAATTTTTGAAGATTTTTGAAAACCAAAGATATTGAAAAAATCACCCAGCATTAGACACTGCAATCCCAAAGGCACCGGGCAGCAATTGGTTAATGCGCCAGTGGAATTTTGAACAATTTTTTTCCAGATTTTTCTAACATTTTTATGGTGTAATATTTTAAGTGTTTCATAAATGCCACATCTTGTTGAAGTTGAAGGGAAATGATATTTTAAACTATGAGAACTTCAACTGAGTCCCCACATTTTTTAACAAATTGTTTGCTTGCATTTAATAAATGATTGATACATGTACATGTGTTTAGCATGTTAGCCCAAATTTTACTTGTGAAATAAATTCAAACATTAATTTTCAATGACTTTGTGCATGAAAGTTACATTAAGCTATGTACCAGTTTGGAATTCATTTGAGTTATAAATGCCAAACTCCTAGTGCAGTGTGTTAGTTCAATCCCACATAAATACTGGAAAGCCCACCAAAAGTCCTCATGATGCCATTGCACAAAAGTCCTCATGATGCCATTGCAAGTCCTCAGACATTATAAATTACAAGTCCTCACATGTCAATCGGTCCCCTGTCAGCTAGGTGAACTTCGACATGAACAAGCCCCTGAAAATCCATTACAAGTCCAACACAAGTCATTCAGTCTTGAGCCATTTAATTCACAAGCTTTTCAAATGAACCGTGACAAAAGCATTCCTTTGTTATTGTTCACCCTTTTACTTATGACTGGTCTTGCGAAGGGACTTGTGACAGGACTTGTGACTGGACTTGTGAAGGGATTCGTGACAGGACTTTTGACCGGACTTGTGAGGGGACTTGTGACAGGACTTGTGACTGGACTTGTGACTAGACTTGTGAAGGGACTTATGACTAGACTTGTGAAGGTACCTGCGATGGACCCAACTTCAACACTGATTTGTATATGGAGTATTTGAAGGAACACTTGATATTATTTCATCAATAACCAGGACCAGAGCCAGAACCAGGACCAGAACCAGGACCAGAGCCAGGCCCAGAGCCGGGACCAGAGCCGGGACCAGAGCCAGGCCCAGAGCCGGGACCAGAGCCAGGACCAGAGCCGGGACCAGAGCCGGGACCAGAGCCAGGACCGGAGCCGGGACCAGAACCAGAACCAGGACCAGAGCCAGGACCAGAGCCAGGCCCAGAGCCGGGACCAGAGCCGGGACCAGAGCCAGGACCAGAGGCAGAACCAGAGGCAGAACCAGAACTGATGTGCACCGACACTCACGGCACTAAGCACAAGGCTGCGGAGAGGTGGAAGATGGACAAGTGCATTGAGTGCCATTGCCAGAATGGGGAGGCGGTCTGCATGACACCGATGTGTGCCGGCCCACTGATGGGCTGGAAGTATTGTACCATCAAGGCTGGTATGGAGGATGCCTGCTGCCCGGAGTTTGACTGCGTGGGTAGGTCCAGATTCGTTCGCTGTGTCCTCTGTTTGTCAGTGTGATGTCATATTAAAAGGATCTGTGCAGTGTAATTTTTTTTTTACAAGAGTCCTTGAAAATGCAGTTGTATGTCAAGTTATCTTATTTTCAGTTTTTGTTTAAGGGTATTTGGCTATGTTTTGGGTTTGTATTATGTCTGATGCCTATCTCAATACATGTATTTATGAGCAAAACCATGACGTCATTTAAGGGAAAGAACTCAATGATGCGTTGACTTGTGCACTACAAATGGCTCTTTGTGTTTCTGTATTTGCTTGTTTCTAGACTTTCTTTAGTGATTCCATCGTTGTTTGAGTATGTGGGGATAAGCCAGTAAGCAACCTTTTCTCCAAAACAGTTTCATTGAGTGTGTTTTGGATTCACAATTTGATTTAAATTTGGTGATTTCCCATTGGATAGGCTGTCTGGACTCTGAGAGACTGAACCATTATGATGTGGGGGAGACGTGGAATGGAGAGGGTGACCCCTGTAATGCTTGTAGGTGCGTTGGCAACAACAGAGTGTCTTGTGTCAGGGAGATCTGCCCAGGGGTGAATCGTTACATCCCTCCTTTGTGTCGATGGGTGATTCTTCCCGGGGAATGCTGCCCGAGGGACCAAGGACCAAGTGGCATTGTGTGCGATGAACGTAAGTCCAAGGTTCTGTACGGTGCATTTTTTCCCTGATACATCCCTTGAAAATTCACCTTTGTGTCTAACCTTATTTTCATTTTCTATTTTGCTATTTTGAAGGATGCTTTGATGCCCTTTTCATTGGTATGCTAAAACTGTGATGTGCCTGGAAGAAAACCACTTTTCAATACATGTAACTCAATAGAGGGATTGCGTGGCTGCCATCTTGCAGGCCAGTGCTTTCGTTCCACAGGGTATTCACAGAGGCCCTGTGGAACAAAAGAAATGCACTGCGTGATGGGTACCACGTAAAGCCTCTATGAGGATGTAAAATGCTTTTTAATACAAAGGGGGAATATAAACTTGCACAAGAAGCGTTGACAAAAAAAATTGCTAGGACTCTAAAAGATGGTTTTATGCATATCTCAGATTTTTCCCTGTCTCCGGCTTCGTCTTTTTTGTCAAATCCACTCGTCGGCTTATAATACTCAAACTGAATGAAACCGCTTATGTTTTTGCATCAACAGCTTACAATCTGACACCACTGCATAAGATCAAGATAAGCCTTTCTGTTGAGCTAAAAAAATTCCAAAGTCAGGGTCATAAAATTGGCAGACAGATACCAAGCAGAGACTTATAAACTCTCTTAGATGCCGTAAGTTTTGTTGCTGTCAGTTTTGTTTCCGTCAGATCTCATGTCTGGCACTGTTTTAATTTTTGTTTATGGCATGATGTTTCTTTTGTACAAATGCAGCACGAAAATAAGGATATTGTACAATTTCTCTTCGAGTAATTTTCAGCATTTAGTACTGTTATAGATGCGACATTTCTTCCTTTATAATTCGCCTGCTGTTTTTTATTTAACTCTTTCTTGAGACATTTGTGGTATTTTAAGTCTAACCTGTTCTGCAGCAGACCCTATGTATTGTGTTTTGTACCCAGTATTCTTTTGTTAAGATGTTGCCCAGGGGGCCGACCGGTTATGTAATGGCCCTTTTATTATTTTCTGGGTGCACATATATTTAAGAAGTGGGTTGTACCATGCTTGGGTGCACTCATCACACCACAGCCACCCGTCCAGCCAGGGGCTCTGTTCTTTTTTCAACTGATTGGTGTTGCCAACCTTCATCACTCCAGCCAATGTCCAATTGGCCCTCCAGCTATACACCGCCTGCAGAGACAGCGAGTCACCGCTGTACTCTTCTCCTTCAAGTTAACAGCTTACCACATGCATTGCATGTAGAGACAGTGAGTCTCCGATGTTCTCTCTCTCTTTCAAATTGATGGCCCAAACCAACCGATTTTGCGGCTCTTCCTAGATGGCCTAGGACCAGACAGGTTCTGAGGCTCTTCCTAGATGGCCTAGGACCAGACCGGTTCTCTGAGGCTCTTTCTAGGTGGCCTAGGACCAGACTGGTTCTGAGGCTCTTCCTAGATGGCCTGGGACCAGACCGGTTCCGAGGCTCACCCCAGATGACCTGGATCAGACCAACCGGGTGCACCAGCCAGTGCTTCAGCCAGCTGTGCCTGAGTTGTCCCTCCGCCACAGAATACCAATAGTCAACTTGACAGCACGCACCCAATCAAATCCTCAACAACAACCTATAAGTAATTATTTAATTTTATAAACAAATAGTAACCTAGATTTAAATTGCTTTAATTATTATTATTTTGGTATGTAAACTGAATAAGTTTCTGTAAATATAGTTGATGGTTTCCTTTTCTCTGCTGTCATGTTCATCTGTCGTGCCCTACTTCATTTTGGTTCTTATGAATTAGTTGCACGTAACAGTACAATGTTTTAATATTCATGAGCCTACACACCTTGGTATTTCCACATCACTTACCACTAGGGATAACACTATTCTGTTTACAGTAATGTTCCAAATATAAGCCGTGGCTTATATGCTTATTTTCACACTGGAAAATGTCTCTGTGAGTTATATACGCTGGGCAGCTTATGTGTAAACTTTTGAAGGATAAAATCACCAACAAAAGCAGTGCCCGGGCCATGCATACCACGTGCAGGTGGCGCCGTCATGGTTTCGTTGGTTACTGTTTACATCTGATAATTTGAACCTCGGAGAATAACTCCCCGAGTCATGGAGTCGCGAAACACATGTACATGAAATGTACGTGTCATTTTAAACTTTACTAGCTCTGCTGTGGCAACATTTGCAGTGGTTATTTTCCCATCTTTTATTCATTCTCATGGTGTATTTTTTGCCGACAAATAGTCACTAATATACATAATAAGTACAAATATATTTTTAGTTGTCGTTATCTAAAGATTTCTGTCTACTATTAAATACAAATCAACAGCTTCAACAGTGTACACGTACCTTCATGTGGCAGATCTTTCGTCTTTTCACCGATCGTGGTCAGCGTGACATGCCACAGAATTTCGGGGTTTTTCACTGGGTTTTTCTGATGACATGTTAATGAGGGCGCTTGTCGTGGCTGCCTCGTTGATTTTTAGCTGCTCAAATTTGTTCGACTTTTATCATCTAAGATCTTCTGTTTCAATTGTCTGTTTTTATTGGACTATTGTGCCTATTTTGAGACTGTAATTGCTTGTTTGTGACCGTCATTAGGTTCTTGGCCGCTGATAACGATTTTGATGTTAGTTTTTAAGCATGTACACATGTATTCAGAAACTTTAGAATCAGGCAGCTACATGTAAGTTATTAACAATAGGTACTAAAAAGAAGGATCAAATTTCCCCAGTTCCAATGTGAGGACTCGAACCAAGGTCTCGCGGCGGGTTTTTCATTTTTGAAGCGATTTGGGTTTATTTATTTTTTGGGTTTATTGGCGTCACAAAAACTTTGAGATAACCGGATGTAGTTTTATGGACAGTTACAGAGATTTTTTTTTTACAAAGAAGCCTATTCTTTGGCAAGAAATAGTTGGCCTACGAGATAAAATGATCTTTCGACTTAATCGACTTTGTTGTACGCCCCCGACCGCATAAATTTTGCCGGCCGCTGGAAAAAAGGGGCAAGAGCTGATGCATGGCCCACGCAGAACAATCATCCAGCCCGCAAAAATTATTAAATTTAAGGACTTAGAAAGGACTTGTTTGTGACACCCATTTGAAATTTTCTTAAATTTGTTAGGATTACACATATAGTAGAACCATTGATGCGCCTTGCGGGTGCTTCAGCATGCAGCAGCTTCGTAGTTGGATCATCAGCACTGCAGTGCAGCTTACATGTATATGCTGGTGTGGCTTACACGCCGGTGTGGCTTAAAAGCCAGTTAGGAAATGACTTGGGTGGTCTTACAAGGCGTCACTTCTCAGCAAAGATTTTTCCCCGTCTCCGACTGACTTCTTACCACATAAATTATATGCCGGTGTGGCTTACGCGCCGGTGTAGCTTATACGCCAGTGTGGCTTATACGCTGGTGTGGCTTACACGCCAGTGTGGCTTACACGCCAACTTTAAATCTTAAATTGCTGATTTTTGCATGTTGAGGCTTATACACTGGGTGGCTTATATTCTGAAAATTACGGTACATAAAGTAATCGTCGTGCTTCATCATGAGTTGAGAAAATAAAATGATTGTCACGAGTTAAGAGAGACATCATGTGTTCTATCGTACCAGTGATTTTAAGATGTGCATGTATATATTTAATTGTGTTGGGGAGACATTAATTTCAATTACAGGTTTTGTTCCCTCACCGACTTTTGTATTCATCAACACTGTCTTCTCAGTGCCTATCCGCAAGCGTTCGGACAAGCACTGAGTATATAGTATTTATGAATACACGTCGGTGTGGGGGTGAGTCCTGGAATTGACATTGACATACTAGTGATTGCTAGATTACTTTGTAAAATGTAATAATTATCCTATTCATCAGGCAAGACAAGTTGGCGTCCTGTATAGGTGAACATGTATTCTTTGACCTCACTGGTACCCATTCCACACATGGGTTTAGGGAAGTTATTCATCAGCAAGACAAGATGGCTGCCTGTATAGATGAACAGGTATTCTCTGTCCTCACTGGTACCCATTTTCACCCATGGGTTAAGAGAGGCAGGAAGGCATGAAGTGACATGGAATCACATGTAATCACCACCTAGATTCGAACCCCCAACCCTATGATTATAAGTCACAAATTCTAACCACTGGGCCACACGCTGCTCGTTGGTATACCTTTAACAAAGGCAATTCTGGGAGTTCAATGTGAAATTGGAAAAAAAAAACTGTGAATTTATTTTTCTCTCTCCCAAGCCATTTCTGCTTGCATTCCCGGGAGTGCTGTGATGCCAGATTGCCCCTCGGACCTGTGTTTGACGGCAACGTGCGAGGGCCACCCGGATGCCCAGTGTAAAATAAGCCACTGTGGCACATGCCATACCGTCTTCTACGACAGCGACGGCGTGAAGCTGGACTGTCTGAATGAACCTGTTGTCCATGGTATGTTCATTGCACTTTTTTCTGTCCCTCAGAGAGGTGGAGCATTTTCTTCCTTAACAAATAAAAACTCGCAAGCTTTGTGCCTGTTAAAAACCAACAAAATGCAATCTTTGTTTTGCCAAATTGTGCACAAGCGTTGGATTACAAGCCCATTCGTTGTAGTTCTTTGTAGTAATGTTTTTCAAGGACGAAAGTGTGTCATTTGTCTAAACTGCAGAGTTTTGTTGGGTTTATGTTAGTGTACAGTACATTACAAGTGCCTTGGCAGCAGTGCTGTATTTGAGTCCATCACAAGTCCCTGTACCTGTAAGTCCATTGCAAGTCATTCCGTCTTAAGCCAATTCACGAGCTATTCAAATGAACTGTGAAAAAAGTATTCTTTTGTCATCGTTCACCCTGTTACTTATGACTGGCCTTATGAGGGACTTGTGACTGGACTTGTGAAAGGACTTGAGATGGACTCGAGTACAACACTGCTTGGCGGGGTTTGTGCCATAGGAGAAACGTTCGTTTGGATTGAGAAAGAGATTTTGAATGGACAGACATGGCATTCCTTGTGTTGACCTGAAGGAAAAAGAAAAAATTTGCCCATGTCCACACAATGTTCCTTATCTCTGAGAAAGGCGTAGAAGAATTGTGTGGGTAGGTTTATCAGAAGAGGAACACATGTGTAAGCACATCTGTGAGAAAATCGTGGTCAAAGATTGAGTCTTAATGAGTTCTGATGACATTTTTTTCTCATTTTTTAAAAAACTACACAAAGATTAAGAAATGTCCTCACAAGGTATGCATGACAAGTGTGTGTGTGTGTCCTCACAGCGTCTTTCTTTGGCCCATATGATGTCTGCCTGGGATTGACATATTGATGTTTACAGCTTACTGGTAGAAACAAGTAGTTTGGGGACAAACCGTATTGTATATATCAGGTTTCAGAATTTCACAAGAAATTGAACGTTCCTGCCTGCCCGGATTTTTCAAAATCAAAGGCCAATGGGGGCTTATTTCGGTGAATGCCTGACAAGAAATGCACAGTCACTTTGAGAACTATTCATGGCATAATTTTAATGGACAAAAGAATTTCTTCCTGGAGTGAGTTTAAGAATGGAAGGAGTGAAAGTGTCTTCTTCCCTTGAAGTGGAAACTCTTGCATGTACCTCTTGTCAGATGTTCAATTTAAAAAATTAAACTTGGACAGTTCAGCTGAAAGTTTGAGAACGAATTAAAAAGTGGATTCAAGTCCTACCACTAGTAACAAGATTGTAAAGGCACTCGAATGTCAAATAAAGTTAGGTTCATATGCAGAGGAGCAAGAGCCTGTAACCTTTTGTGGCCATTGATGTGGTTTTATACGGTTACATTAAGGTTATTTTTACAGCTTTGAAAGTAAGGAAAGACGAGAGACTCTCCCCAAAAAATCACATTTCATTATTTATAAAAAAAAAAATTGGGGGGAGGGGGCGTGGCCCATCCCCCTTTACAGGGGCTAAAATTGGTGAGTCTTGAAACTTTCTGCTTAGCCGCTAAAATACCATGCAAGTTTGTGGCTGGTTCCCAGGTGATATTTGCTTGACGCATAAAACCACTAAACATTTTCCGCCCACAAACTTACTATGGAGAGGGGCTTGGTGACAGCTAGGTCCATTCACATGTATACAAGCAATATTCTCCTTCCCTCCCTCCAGAACCCACCTGCTCTGATGAGGCGATGATGACTTGCCTCTTGTCTCCCTGTGACGCTGGGGCTGTCTGTGACGGGCACCCCGATGCTGTCTGCTACGTTGACTACTGCCACCAGTGTGAGGCAGTGTTCTTTGACAAAAGAAACCAACCGTTGGCATGCCGGGCCCCCCATGACATTACTGGTAGGTTTTGAATGAATTAAAATGGAAAACCCATCAGAAGGGGTTACGTTTATCACATAAGGTCTGTATCAAGCCGATGCCCTTCATTGCCTGGACTGATGGCACTTCCATGCACCTCAGTAGACTGATTGTGCCTGCCAGGTCACTTGACCAATAGTGGGTACCATCAAACATCAACAGACCCAATGGCAATATATATTTCAAGTGTTTTTTCCCAAAACTGAAGCCAATATTTGATACACAGTAGCACCCAGCCCATATCTGCAGTCTGTATTGCACCAACTGTCACCTTTCATTGTTGATAAATGATACTTATGACACCCTTTGCTATTGGAAGATGCTATGTTTGTTGATATTTGATACCCACTGCAGGTCACGTGACTTAGCAGGCGCAATCGGTCTATTGTACAGAAGTACACTTACATGTATTTCTGATTCAGTACATAGTGTCAGAAATTGATGATTATGTAGTAGATTTCACTGACATGAAGCACCTCTCTGAGTTTCTTAAGTACAAGCTTGTTGAAAACCCACAGATTGCATTTCCTATTTGTCTGTTTGTGCAGTTTCCTTGTCAAGTAAACTAGGCAAGGCTGATTGACATACTTCAGACGATTGAAAAAGCGAAGCGACTTTCGTGTCACATATCATTTACAGTGATATTTGTTTGAGTTGAACTGTGGTCGAACTGTTGTGAAGTTGTGGTGCGAATAATTTATCCGACATCTCCAAATCGTGGAAACGTTTGCTTTCATGTCACACTGGAATGGGCCTTCCCACAGTCAAGTCGTTTTGTGGAGTAAAAATGATGCGGAATAATACTGCCAATTGTGTTGATTGTTTTGTTCCCAGAAAGGTGCGATGAAATTCACAACGTCGGTGACCATTGGGACGAGAACTGCATGACTTGTGAGTGCACCAGCGATGCGTTCATTGCCTGTGTACCCAACGAGTGTGGCGAACCACCTTCCCCTCTTCCTCTGAGATGTCGCTTGGTGAAACAAACCCCTGAGGAATGCTGCCCTTCCAAAGTGGTTTGCGAAGAAGGTGAGATAACAAGCGTCAGTTTGAGCCTCTTTTCTGAAACTTTAAAAAGTATAGCAAAAATCGGCCCCTTTAACGTTGTACCGGCATTTGAGCAAGCGGAGTTTTATCCAGCCTACATGTAATGCATTGGTAATTGTTTGATTTTAACCATGAACTAAATTACCATATAGAACAGCAAGAATTAGATCTTATTCATAGCCTCCATCTTGGAGTTAAAAGTCTTTCTTACCGTTGGACAGGCTTGGGAAAGCCTTTTGTACTCATGTTGTTACAGACTTACAGTTACAAATACACATGTACCTCCATGATGGCCGCACTGAACAAGGTCTACACTCAAATGCAATCATTATGATAATTGAAACTCCAATTCACGGAGTTGATAATTAACCTATCAACGTAACAGAAGTTTCATACAAAAGCTGACTTAAAAAGTTTGAATTCAAGTGGGATTCTCAAGAAAAAAAAATCACTCCACCATTGATAGAGTACTTTCATGTATTTTCTAACAATCTGATGTTCTCCATTTTCTTTTAGCAATATCTGATTGTCCCGTGGGAGCATCCATTGCTCCATCCTGTCCGGATGACCTTTGTAACACCACCTGCGAAGGTCACCCAGAGGCCGTCTGCCATATCAGCCGATGCGGAGGTTGCTTCGCCAAGTTCTTTGATGAAGAGGACCAAGTGGTTCAGTGTGTGGGAGGTCTGGTAGGTAAGTGAACCCTCCACCCCACCAACCAAAAACGCCTTGGGTTCCGTCCACCCCTGCAATGCACCCTTTGGAAATATCTACGCTGGCCTACAGAAGTGCTTGCGTCCATGGGCGTTGCCAGAATTTTTCTGGGGGTGGGGGTGGGCAAAGCACCCATAAGTAGCAGTTGGACAAATGCATTAGAGGGTCATTTTCTAGGTATTTTCCAGCAAATCATTGGTGTTTGTCCCCTTTCGTCCGTTTTTCAGTTTCTAGGACATCTGTTCTTTTTTCCCTCTTTTATTTTCATTTTTTTGGGAGGGAGAGGGGGAAGTACCCTTTTTCCCCTACCTTGGGGGACATGTGGCCTCGTGGTTAAGGTTTGTAGCTTCTGATCATAGGGTCAGGGGTTTGAATCCAGCTGGTGGCAGCATGTTGTGATCATGGGCAAGTCACTTTACCCCTATGTGCCTCTCTCCACCCAGGAGTAAATGGGTACCTGTGAGGGCAGACACGGTTATATTTATCCGTTTTCACCAAAATAGCAGCATCAGGCTAGTATACTCCCCAGGGAGCTGAGATGGTTTCAGGAATGTTCAGATGATGTGAGCCCAATGTGCAGGGATTATGATAATAAATGCGAAGAGACATTCCATAAATAGCTTTATAAGAACTGATTATTATTGGTAGTAGTACCTTAGAAAATAGGATTCACAGCTTGGAAACCCTTCACTGTCAAACCTTTGAAAAAGCTGTTTTTAAACTTTTAACAGACCAACATGTGTTACCTAGATTCTGTAAAGCCAGGACCCAGTGACTGGGCAAAGCTGAATACTAGAGATATAAAGGTGACGTTTGAGCAACGTTTGATGAATCATTTCTTTTCTTGTCGCTGTTCAACATTTTCACGGTCTGTCTTTTTATTTTTTATCCAGAGGTGGAACCGAAATGTCCTGATGGCTCTCTACAGGCCCAGTGCCTCGTTTCCCCGTGTGAGTATGCCACGTGCAAGTACTATCCCGAGGCTGTGTGCCATGTCGACTACTGCCAGCCATGCGAGGCCATCTTCCATTGCCCTTTTAACAAGGAGCTGAACTGCCTAGAGAAAAGGAAAGAGGAGACAGAAGGTAGGTTTTCTGTTCAGTTGGCAGGAGGTGGTCAAACCTATTTCTCAGCATCCAAATTATTTTCCAGAAGTGGCCGGAAGAGAATGGATTCGAGATGAAGTCACAAGTGTGTCCCAACCTATCAAAATGAGTCACAAGTCGCCAGATCCACATTAGAGTTAAAGGCTTTTGTGCAGTTAAAATCAGTCGGAGGCTTCAACATTTGTCATCAAACATGTACATACAAAGCTTGGTTTTCATATGGTTGTAGCGAACACCGACGCCATGCAAAACATCGAGACGCAGACAGTCGTGGAAGAGACGATGCGTGACATCATTCTGCCAAAAAATTAAACAAATGGTGTCTGAAACTTGGAAAATTTTAAAATGCCAGTTGTGATAAAGTATTTTCATATGAATACGTATCATCAGAAAGAAATCAGCAATGCTCTCTGTGTCTTTTTACGTCAACATAAAAATTAGGCTTAATGCCCATTTTTACCTAGATGCCAGGCAGAAGGAAAAGCTCAGTTTGCTCTTTCCCTAAGGCAAACTTCAATGAAAATGCTTGGAGAAAGGTTGTAGGGCTCATTTTGTGGGATCCTGTCCCAAATGTTCAGGAAGAACTTTCTGCCTTTTGAATCTGATATAATAAAAGTCATTAGATTGATAAGCCTATAAAGTGTAACATTTCCTGCCAAGAAGTAATGTTCTGGTCTGTTTGTTTCTCAATCAGTGATCCCAATGCTGGTTTGCTCCTTCCATTAGGCAGGTTCCGGTGTCAGTGAACCAACAACGGATCACTGATTGCGATCCAGATCCCCACAAATCAAACAGGTCCTATAATTTGCACCTATAACATTGTCTTCATTTCCTGCACATTCATCACATTTTTGGAACAATTTTACCACAGGGATTGCTTTGCTGTTGATTCAAGAGGGCCAATTAACTCTAGAATAAGGCTTATTGTGACACACTTTACTCTTGTTTTCTGTCTATTTTCAAATACTTGGCACCAGTTGGGGACCCTTTCATGTCCCGGGTGTCCTTTCATTCATCTCTGGTCTGGTTCCCCGTGTTCAGAGTGTAAGGATTCCTCCAACATCAAACATGACGTGGGCGAGACGTGGATGGAAGGATGCAATGAGTGCACGTGCACGGAGACAGGCATCCCAGCATGCCGAGCTAAGACATGTGACACTGGTGAGGATGGCTGCCTATCCATTCATTGTGGGCTACCAATTGTATTAATGGGGCTTTTGGTCATTTAAATTGGTTGTATTTGGAAGACCTCAACTTGAATGACTTTGGAAGTACATGAAGAAACAATAGAAATAACTAGTAAAACTTAACATGAAACAAATGAAAACAAAAACAGTTGGAAAACAAAGTACAAGTCAGTCCGAGAATCTGAAGTGAAGAATTTGTGAAGTCACATTCAAATGTGCAAATTTGGTTAATCCAACCCTATAACCCAACCTCAAACCCAACTAAAACTATTAGCCCCAATCCAAACCCCCCAAACCCCAACCCAAAATCCAATCCACAAATTAACCCGAGTCCTAACTTCAAATCCAATCCCAAATCTAGCACTAAACCCAACCCAACCCAACCTCAAACCTAGGCCAAATCCAACCCCATGACAATAAGCCATTTGCGAGTTAAATTTGAATAAAATCTGGTACACGGAGTTATCTGATTGCACATAACCTTATAAATTGTTATAACAATTTGAATTCCCCAAACTAAAGACACTGTTGCTATACCTCGTGATTCGGGGCAAGCTTTCGCACAGCGACCACCATCTCTGGAATGGACTAGTTCCTTTGTGCCGTTCTTATACATTGAGAACAGTGTATTGTTGCAAGGCGTCTCTTATGTAACTAAGCAAAAGCTTGCCCCGAATCAAGAGGTATAGCAACAGTGATTTTAGTAAGGAGAATTCAAGTTGTTATGTTCACGCAAGTTTAAAGAACTCAGTGTACCAGATTTGGGTCAAAGTTAGTTCGCAAAAGGCTTATTGACCACATCCTAAACCCAACTCCAACCCAACCCCTCACAACGAAACCCAACCCCCAAACCAAACCTAAACCGAATGCAAACCCCAAATTAACACACCCCAATCCTTTAAACCAAACCCCAAACCTAGCCCACAACCTGTCCCCATAACCTCTGACCCCCCCAAAACAAAAAAACAAATCCTAAATCACAACTTCCAAACTTAAACTAGGGTTTCCGCAGCCTGGAAAAGTCATGGAAATTTGTTTTCATTTTCTAGGCTGAGAAAAGTCCTGGAATTTTTTTAAAATGACTAAAGTCATGAAAAAGTCACAGAATTTTTCAAACACTGTGTGTGATTTCTATTATCAGAAATAAGTCCATAAAATGCATGATTTCATTCACAACTTTAAAAGTCTGAATAATCCAAGAAATTGCACTATTGGGTCATGAATTTTCATAATTTGGTCATGGAAAAGTCATGGAATTTAATTGTCCTTTAGGTGCAGGAACCCTGTTAAACAAAACAGAAACAAAACATGGAAGGACCAATAATTTTTTTTCTCAAACCTCCACCCCAGCCACCTGTGAGGGCGGTTACCGTGTGGGTGAGCGTTGGCAAACAACCTGTATGACCTGTGAGTGTTCTCCATCCCTCACCCCTGTCTGCATATCCCACGAGTGTGGACAAGCTCCACCCCTCCCTGACAGGTGTTACTGGGCCAAACAAACACCCGACGAATGTTGCCCTTCCAAAAGGGTCTGTGAAGAAGGTAAGGATTGACTCATAAAAATACAGTCAGATTTTTACAATTGGTCTTTAGTAATTAGCAATTCTAGTGGAAAATTTTAAAAATGACTTTTTGTTAACTGCAGTATTTGGAAGGGATTCCTGGCCATGCCTCCAAATAAACTGGAACACCATTACATGCAAGCCCGCAGAGCAATTGAAGGATTAAAGAAAGAAAGTAGTCAATCTTGTTACGTTGTGAGAAATTCTAAGACAAGTTGCATGGGAAAGCCTACAAGTTCAGGTAGAGAGTAAACCAGGGTAACAGTAGTGGAAAATGTATGATAGTTGCTGGCACGAGATGGGATTGAATATCCAAGTTGAAGGGGTTGAAAGTTTTGTGTATGATTTGATTTTTTACCCCAGCTATATCAGCCTGTTCCGAAGGGTCCTCGGTTGCCCCATCCTGCCCAGACACACTCTGTGACGCACCCTGTGAGGGTCATCCAGAGGCCACGTGCCTCATCAGTAGATGCGGCGGCTGTGTGGCAAAGTATTTTGACGAGAACAGCCAACGAGTCCAATGCGAGGGAGGACCAGTGGGTAAAGAGACAATCCCATATCCAGCATTATAGTCAAATTTGCCAAAGAGAATTAGAAGCCATAATAGCGGCGCCTTTCCGTTAAGACGCAAGTGGTACATGTGCCTTAAATTCCTCTCTGACAAGTCTGGTTTCGTGATTTGCGAAAGTGTGCGAGTGCGTTCAAGTTAAGGCTTATTTGTGAATGTGATGGCCCTGCAGAAAAGGCAGATTCTCGAGTTTGTCTATGGTCGCGACTGTCACAAGTCCTTTCACAAACTGCCTCACAAGTGACAGGGTGAATACTTTTGTCACACTTTGTCTGAATAGCTTGTGACTTGGCCTAAGACTGAATTACTTATGGTGGACTTGTTAATGACTTGGAGTGACTTGTGGTGGACCCGACTGCGCATATTTGATATATCAAGCCTTACTTCTTTGACTTCACCCCTGAAATTGATTATCGATTCCCAGCTAGAGCGTTCCTTTCCAGGAATATCGAATACATGTAATGTTTTAAATGGCTTCATATGGGCAATTGAGTGATCTCATTTTTCCTGATTACATCTTTAAACATTTTTGACACATTTGCAACAGAAACCTTGCCGGAATGTCCCGACTGGTCGCCCCCAACGTGTCTCATTGCGTTTTGCGAGCTTGCCGAATGTGAGCGTTACCCAGATGCTGTGTGTCACACTGACTACTGTAAACCCTGCGATTTCGTATTTTATGATGATCATAACCAGAAACTGGACTGCTCCATTGAAGGTAAGGTGGATGAATTTGGTTCGTCCAAATTATTTCCAACTGAGATAGAAGTTTGTTGCAGGCTGAAATTGTTTTGTTTATAGTGACGCTAGGTGATCTTGTTTTTTTGGACATACAGTATACACGCATAGCCTGTCAGTGAGGTCAGTAGTGCACATCTATGCACCTTGA